TTCGACCAAGCGTGGCAAAGGGTGGTCCGGGACCCTTTCGTTCAGTCGATCCATCGCTCTGTTGTTGCCGGCGCGCAGGGTCTGGCTTGGCTATCAGCGGACGCCACGAAGGAGGCGCCAAATAGCGCATCACGTGGTGCGTCTTTCAAGTTTCGGCCCACTATCGAACCACTATATATATCGTCTGTCCTTTGAACACTTTCTCCGCGCCTCGCCATTCGAGCTACGAGCAACGAGAGTCATACAATGAGTATGCTGCAAGCCAAAGACGACAAGTCGACAGACTTCACGAAGAGCCTGGACATTTGGTATGCAGACGGAAGTGTCGTCCTCGTTGCGGAGAAGACGGGATTCCGTGTGCATACAAGTATCCTTGGCTGCGCTTGTGAGGTCTTCAGAGACATGGCCGCGATCCCGCAGCCAACTGGAGACGATGGGTCTGAGACATACGAGGGATATCCGGTTCTCAGGCTGCAGGACGCCGCTGCAGATTTGCACCATTTTCTGAAGGCCATCTATGATTTTGCGTGCGTGCGTACATCTAATAGCATATAACTGCAGTGATACAACTTTATTATAGCTACTTTCGTCCTGGCGTGAAGAAGAGTTTCGCTGTCGTGGCCGCCGTCCTACGGCTCAGCACCAAGTACATCGCTCCCGTCCTACGCCGCCAGGCCATCGAGATGTTCACATCCGCCTATCCCTCTACGTACAAAGCCTGGAAGAAGCGCAACGCGGAACGCCTCGTATCGCCTGTCGACGGCGAGTTCAGCGCGCTGGTCGCGCTCGCGGAGCAAACCGACGTCCGCGCCATTCTCCCGAGCGTCTTCTACGCCGCGGCGAAGCGGCCGCTCGCCGAGACACTCGCGCAACTGCACGCGCTGCCCCTGAGCGAGACTATGAGGCAGGAAACCATGACGAGGTTCATGCTGGGCCGGGAGAAACTTCAGAAAGAGGAGATAAAAGAAGTCCTCACGTTCCTGCGGCCGAGTTTCGCACGGCCAGGCTGTGTGAACGCCAACGACACGAACACCCTTGCACTCGCTGCTAGTACCGCCCTCGAACGCATGGGAGACGACGAGCCGTACTATGAGTACTGCTTCAATAACTCGACCACCGTTGGGACAAGCATCGGTCTGTGCGCGATCTGCTCAAACACCATCAGAGACCACATCGATAGTGCTGTTGGGGGGATCTGGGAGAGGCTCCCCGCGATGTTCGGCCTCCCTGCTTGGGAGGTTTTGACTGCGAGTGATGATGGGCAACAGGATATGTAAAGCTGTGCAAATAAGCATTGGGTCTATTTCAATATCCCATTGGCGCTGCCCTTCCCTCGGCTGTTGTGCCTCCCTTCACTGTACGACCGAAGTTCACATTGTCAGGGCAGATGTCTCATGGGAAGCCGTATCGAATTACAAAAAAACATTTATCATATACTCGGCGGCCCAATGGATCATATGACGATCAGCCTATGAAATACACCACGATAGATGATACAAAACGATTTGCTATAGCTACATTTGGGGTTCAGTGAGACCCACGAACGATACAAAACGACTAGGATGTGTAGAATGAGCGACAAAAGAATCCTTTAACAAGCGTGAATAGACGCAGCCAGCGACCTCCGCTGCTCGAGAAGAAGTGGTGCGCGCCCAAGAAAAGCATCGGTCCCCTTGCTACGCGTCTCTCGCGGTGTGGAACGAGTCTTTTCAAGGAGCAGATCCCGGTAGGACTGGTGCATGGCCGATAGCGCCTCGAACTTCTCGAGGAGGTGTTGGACGCGCTCCGTGAGGTCAGAGCGGTCAAACTTGCCTGAGGCGCTAGGGGTACGAAGAGGGGTGCTGGCGTTGTCAGCGGGGAGACGCAATGCAGGCTTGCTGGGAGAAGACGATAAGATGAGTGACTCGCTTGGGACGCAGAACATGAATGCTCCGGAGCCGGTCGAGGTGTCCTTCAGTGTCGAGGGGACAGTCACAGCCGGGGCCTGGACTGGATCACGAGCAGACAGCCTCTCCGAGCTACGTGCGGCTGAGGAGGATTGAACACCAGCATCGGAGAAGGAAACAGAAACACCAATCTCAGGGCAGGATTGGACACCAGTGTCGACCAGTTCCGGCTCGTCTGCGACGCATTGTACGGCAGCCTCAACAAATTGCACAAGGCGATGACGATGGAGAGGAGTGAGCGCCCGAGCGCGCTGATCGTCTTCTGTGCGAGCCAAGCGTTGAGTTAATATGAGGTTCATGCGCCAGAGAACCAAAAGCCCGGTCAGGAGTCTAGTAGAGTTGTTGGTATAACGGGTAGTGATTGTGTGGTAAAACCTCTTGAACTTCTTCGCTGCCACGTCGCGCGACTTAATCGAGTCGTTATAGAGGGCGCGGTACTTAAGAGCTTCCTTCTCAACGTCCGCCGCACGACTGCAAAGCTGTCGAAATTCCTGCTGGAGATCGACGTTGCAATGCAGGTAACGAATAAGAGCTCGGCGGGCTTCGACTTTTTGAGCAGAGAGGACCTTCCAACGAGCCAAGAGTGAATCTTTCGAGCGAAGAGCAGGAGCAAGACGTTCGCCAAGATGTAGAGCAAAGCCATGGATCAATAAGACGATGTAGATCAGCCTGTGGATGGTCAAAGTTCGCTTATTGTCGAGCCGCTGTGCGGCGAGGATAACCAGTCGGTATTGATCCCTAGATGTCTCCAGAGCTTTTTCTAGCTGTTCGCGGGAGCGGTTGAATCTGTCCTCATTATCGTGCAACCTAGCGTTGAGTTCCCGAATTCGGGCGTTCGCTGCCTCCAATTCGGACTGCAGTTCAAGGTTCTGGGACTGAGCTCTCGCTAGGTGATCTAGATGGCGCGTCTTCTCTTCGTTTGCGTGTCGTTCATACTCGTCGTATTCCTGGCATTTCTGCTGGAGAGCAGCATCGTAAGTCGCAAGCTCCTCTTGATAGGACCGCAAGTGGGTGTCAAGACGAAGATTTTCGGCTCGAAGCTGACGAATCTCAGCTTGCGCTTGCGCGAAGTGGCTCTGCAGGCGAGCGTTGTACACATTGCGTCGTCGCTCCCGGATAAGTTCGTCCTCAAGGGAAGCCAGGGTGCGCTCTCTGCATTGTTCTTCCTCCGTCCATAACCCAAGCCACTGCAGTCCATGGTAAGAGAGATGAAGACAGCTGAGAGGCACTACGCACCAAAGTGATGTCTTGTGCTAAGCTCTCGAACTCCTGCATGTGCATGCGCTTGCAGAGACGGACGCAAACGAGACAGCGGATGGGAATCCTCAGGACAGAAGCTGCGAGTTCCAAGACCAGAGAAATAAAGTGGTAGAGCACATGAGACCTTCGTATGGAGAATAACTAGGTGTCATCCCTTAGAATAACGACATAACAGACGAGGTACGATGCCTACCTCCAGCGATTCTTCCAACACGCAGCAGATGATCAAAAATAATTGTACCGAAGAAAAGAGAGATGCAAAAGCCATAGCGGCTTCATAAAAACAGATGCCCAACAATCCAAAGATGAAGGAGAGAAAGTGAGGGAGAGGGAAGTGAAGAGAAGAGAAGTTGGAACGAACCAAGAGTACTGCAGGCGCGTCATGGTTTAGGATTTATTTCGGTATAACCCATATATAGACATAGCTGCGCTTACATAAGGTCGATATTCTGGACGGCTCTCTGATCAAAGTCGACCCACACCCGCACCACGGATGACATCGTTTCGACCCACTCTTATAATCCAGCGTCCCTTACCAATGGCGGACAAACCTCCTCTTTCCGTCCGCTATGCTATCGATAATTTCTGCAGCTCTGCTCCTCACCGCTTTCGCGGCCTCGGCGAATGCACAAGTAACACAACAAGGCTTTCCCAGGAATAGAGGCATTGCTGGAGGGGCCATTGCAGGTGCTATCATCGGTGCGTTTGTCATATCCGTGTGCTATCGTTCCCCAGCTCATAGGACTTACAGCTGCCATCGCTGGCATACTCTTGTTCTGCATGATCTACATGATGGTCGTCCGCGCGCGGCGCAGGCAGCCGCTCCTGCCAGGCCCTAACGGAGGATTCATCAGAGTCAACCGTCCACCCGAGACGGCGACAGTGCCTGGCGTCGGTTATAACTACAACAATACCTCTGCTTACAATAATGAAGGGCCGTATCAGCCTCCCGCGGGTGACCCTCCCGAGCAGCAAGCGCCACCGCCGTACCCAGGCAAGGAGACGTATCCTGGCCAGCAGAGCGCAGCAGCAGCTCCTAACGCTCCACAACCTGGTGGCTTCGCCTCTCCCCCAGGACCTCCGCCCGCTGCGCATGTTAACAACGCCAGCCCGAGAAATGTAAGCTGTCTTGCCAATCAGCTCTGAAGCAAAGCTGATCTCTTACTCGTAGAATCGCTTCGGATGGTTCAAAGCGAACTAGTAATGATGCCGGACATTATGGCTTAACGTTCACATGCCACCCCCTAATGTATATACACGATGCTCGGATACCTCTTAACCTACTCTTTCGCACCTAGTGTTTCGGCCTTGGTACTTGTCCTACAAAATGGTGTATATATGCAGAAACACAGTAGATTGTACTATCCAACAGACTTCCTATATACCAGTCCTATTGTACAGTCTATGTAGAAGGGATAGCAGTGTGATTCGACAAAACGCGAATCAGATGGGGACACGTCGAGTCCGGTCCACAGTGTACAATAACGATAAGTAGTAAAGGACGACGCACAGATATATAGGCAGAGTAAGAGCGATACGAGTATAGTCACTTGCGGCACACTTCCAGGAAAGGTCTAGTACGACGCGTTCCCACCGCCGGGGCCCTGGTTCAACCCGTCAAGGTACCCGCTCTCGTGCATGAATGTCGTCCAACGCTCGTCAAGGCGCGACTCGCGCGAGGCGAGCCCGAGGTTCACGAGCTCCTGCGGCGGCACAAACGAGCTTGGGCTCGGCGTGGTGGGCACCGCGCGGCCGTGCGCGGGCATGCCTGCGTAGCCCTCAGCGGGGTAGTGCCCCGACACAACTCCCTGGCTGTACTGGTTGGGCGGTGGGGGCGGAGGAGGCAGCGTCTGCATCGGGTACCCCTGCTGGTGCTGTCGCTGGTGTGCCTGAGGTGACAGCTGGTTGACATGCGACGAGTCGCCGGGGGACCAGCTGTATGCGGAAACGGGATACGACGAAGACGCGGGATAGTACGCCTCCTGGCGCGGGGCGGCCTGGTGTTGGACGTACACCTCAGACGAGCCGTATGTCTGGGCGTTCTGCGGTGGCATCCACTTGACCGCAGACGGCGCCTGGCCAGGACCGGTGGTCTCAGGCACACGCAGCGGCGGCAGAGGAGATAAAGATGGAGGATAAATAGGCTGTTGTTGTGGGCGTGATACATACTGCTGGGTAGCGGGAGACGGAGGAACATAAGTCTGTGCCGGGTGAGATTCCGAGTTGGAGGACACGGGTGACGGAGACGGCCGCTTTGAGGAGACGAGGCGAGTACGCCCGGCGAAGATGTCGAGCTCGTCGTCCCCGTCCTCGATCTTGATATTCCACAACGTGCCATCGCCGCGTGGATCATTCCCACCACCAGACAGCGCTGCATGTGCCTTGTCGCGCAGTTTGTGCAGAATAGGCTGCAGAAGACGTCAGCAAGAGACGTTTGCATATTAGCCATGACTCACTAAGGCTTTGGCAGCCCGTCGGCTGTGCCTTGCAGCCCGCTCGAACAGCTCGCAACCTGCATCCAACTGCTGGACGGCCGACCCCGCCAGGGGCGAGCGTGGGCCACGAGTGACGACAGTGCCGAACACGACGACGGCAGAGAATGCATACGTCCAAATGAGCCAGAAGCGCGAGCACAGCGCGGGATACTTCTCGAACTGATTCTTGATCGTCTTGAGGATCGTCACGCTCGCGCGGTACGACGCAAGGAAGGACGCCGCGTACGTGCTCCGCAGCGGATTCGAAGGGCAGTCGATGATCGCCTGGGCAAAGAAGCTGCGATGTATCCACAGGAGGACTGCATCTTTTCCATCAGCGAAAAAAATGTCCGTAGCTGTGCGATGGTACGCACTGATTTCGCGGCAGTGCGACATGACCATCCGGCCCATGGACACGGAAAGTGGTATCGGGTCCTCGTCGTCCGACGGAGCCTTGATCTCCTCGACAAACGCGACGACGTCTGGCGGCACTGGGAACTCGCGCACCTTGCGATCGAGCTCCATGATGGCAGCGTAAGACGGCGGCTCCGCAGCAAGTGCGCGCGACGCGACCTCAGCTACAACTTGGAATGCGAACCGCGGCGCCAACTGATCATCTAAATACGGGTTAGCACGAGGCATGAAATCAGCGTGCAAAAAAGACAGACAGTCTTTAGTCCCTGGTTGCTTGGTCTCCGGTTCCTCTTCCGGAATCTGGTCTGACGAGCCTGGAAATTTGCAATCGATGTAATCCCTCGAGAACGAGGGCGGGCGACCGGTGGTTAGACTCTGATATATTGCTGGTTAGCCGTTATACTACGCACGAAGCACTATTGCGATGTACCTGCCATACGTCTGTGATGAAGAGGTCCCAGAATAAGATGCGCCGTCGCTCGACAACATAGTCGGGAAGTCCCCAGCGCGCACTGTCTCTGTCTGCGGAGGGAAATCAGTATCCTGCTTCGCCATGGGCCACTGGACTTACGAAGGCCGATCTGTGGAAGTGTGAGATCTACGGTGCCAGTGTGAAAGGCCGAGTAGACTTACACTCTGAGCTAGCTGAGCCGCCAATGTCACAAGCGACCACGTCGTCTCCATGGTCGTCTCTTTGTCACTGCCGCACATGGCGGTGTACACGCTCAACAGGTACAGCGCCTGGATGGCGACAAGAGACGGCTTCTCGAGCACGGGCTGCAGGCAGAGCGATGCCTTAGCGAGAATGTGAAAATGCTCGCCCTCGGCATTGTACGGCTCCTGACTAAGGTCGACGAGCGCGCCGACGGCAAAGACCAGGAAGAGCAGCGCGAGGTCGTGTGGACCTGAGTAATCCTGATACGGAACATCCTCCTCCGATATATTGGGGCGTGGCCGCTTGTAAATGGCGGGCAACATTTCATCGACAAGCTGTTCGCGAGTCAGGCCCTGGAAAAGCCAAGCAGCGTTCGTAAGGTACGATTCTGCGAGATGCGTGGCTCTGTCCCAAGGTGGTAAATGGCTCTCGATCAGGCGGCGCACGTCGACAGTCGAACCTATTGGTGTGAACGGGAACGCTATAGAGAACCGCACTAGCTCGCCGTGTATCGGCGGCGTCATGGAGTCTCGCTCTGAGCACTGTCCATCGTCCGATAACGAGGTGCCGTTGTCGTTCTGCGAAAACGCTCAGCAAGCTCTTAGGGCGCGAAAAGCACCACGTACACATAACAAATACTGCAGGTAAGGGTTAGATGGGTCAACGAGGAGCACAACGTACTGTCAACACATACCTCTGCACCCCCGGTAGGACCGAAGAAACGGGAGACGCCATGCTCTGAAACAGACAGCGTGCCGAAGGCGTCGATGATGTCCGGCGGATTGATGGGCGTTGATTCAACCTCTGTCATTTCCTCTTCGTCATGCTCCGTATTCGCGCTTAGCAACTCGTCGCGCAGGAGCGGGTGAGGCTCATTCGAGCCCTTGGCCTGTAGGATGGCCAGAGCATCTTCGAGCTGGCGTATGCGTTCCTTCATCTTGGCTATTCGCTTGTGGAGATGCTCTGTAGCGGCGAGGACAAATCTGAGAGCGCATGCGCAGCATGATAGAGAGTTGAACGATTTCAAAGTGGGATGGAAAGGTATGGGAAGTGAGAGACGAATGGGGACGACAGGACAGCGTATATAAGCAATGCTACCCCGTATATATACAGCAACTGACGTACCGTGTCCCCTGCCCGGTCGCAAGGCTCCCTATTCCCTCATCAGAATGGCCGACTCTCGGTCTGGTGCGGGTGAAACAACCCACCATTAGGGCATAGTGCCGCACATCCTCTGCGCTGCTCAGAATGAGTTATTTCACATCTGCAGGGTTTTGTCGGTGCGTACCTGGCACGATTTGCACGGAATAGATTTGTCACATCGAATCTGGGCCACAGCAAGGGTCAGCGATGAGGTACAAGAGTCGTGGTGGGCGTCGGCATCACCTTGAGTCTAAGAGGAAAGGGAAAGGCGTCAAGGGGAGAGAACTATGGGTTGTGCGACTGATCGCACCTGCGGCACTCAGCGCATGATATCTCCCCTCTGCTTCGCTTCAGCTCAATCTCCCGTGCATGCGTGCTGTCTTGTCTGTCTTCGTCGAGGTCTTTTTTGGACGGGCGGCGACTTTTAGAGGAGAGCGTCGGCTTTGAGGTATCCACAGGCATGGAGATGTGGAAAGAAAGGCGGTTGCTACCAGATGGGGGCACAGCTAGGACAGACCATCCTGCCTTATTTGCTGCGGAAGTAAACCTTTATCACATTTGGAGGACTCATCATCAATTGGTGTATGGGACATTTTACCCTCGAAAGGGGCCATGGACAGCGATCTCAATGCACATCGCCCGCGGGATCTGATGCATCCACCCCTCGCGGATGATGGTGCTCGCGCAAAACCCCCGCCGGAGCCGAAGCGAGAGAGCAAGCTTATCCTAAAGTCCGTCGTCCACCGCCGGCAATTTCTGAGGGTATCTCCAAGCACTTTGACCGCAGACCATCATCAGTTCGCCGTCACTTTAGCGAAATGACTCAGCACTTGTGAATCTAGCATCAGCCGTCTATATTCCTACGTACCAGCCTCGGCCGACCGACCATAGTCTGCTCCGCCTTCCAGATGCTCTCCCCGACAGAAAAATACGGCAAGAAATACAGTTCAGATCTCGGACACCCTACCGTGAAACAGGGACCTCCGGGTGCTGCATGAGCCGATCGTACCCCAGGGCAATGCGCAGCGGCCAGTAACGGCAATGCAGTGGGTCACCTACTGCGCCGAGGCTTTTTGGCTTGCGTAGGATTTCTAGAGGGGTCACTGCCACGAACCAGCGCAAGGGGTTCAAGAATCCCGCGGGCAAGCAGACCGTTGCTGCGTCTGAATAGGGTTAGCATCTTGCCTCGTAGGTTCGCTGCACACACGCATCCCTAAAGCATCTTATCGTTGAAGCAAGAAAAGCAAGGCTCCTGCCGTCGACTCACCAGGCAACACAGAGGGGCGTCCTGCTTCATCAGCAGCTGGACAACGCTGCTGCCTTACCTGGTCATATGTTCTCGCAGGGACGGGCCATAGCTATCGCTGTTGTCTGCATGTGTCTCCGCCGGACCCATGCCAATGGAATGACTCTCAAGAGCACTAGGGTACCACCCAAAGGAACGGGCCACTGCCAGCTGCCGCTGCTATGGTAGACAGGCCCAGCCCATGAACGAGTTATCTGATAAGGCAGGCGCTGTCCACAACATTCTTTGAGAGCTTAAGACACGGGCAGCATGATTGGCATGGTCCAATAGCTGCGACCTGTTGGTTGCGTCAATCAGCAGTTGTCCGACTGCGAGGCCAGCCTGGGATCCGCTGAGAAGCTTCCCACCGGGGCGATTCTGTAGCCGAAACACCAGCTAACAAAAGGAAATATATATAACAAGCACAGACAGATCACGTACACTAGAGCAGTGATGTCGTATATTACAACAACCTGTACGGGGTATCCTGCGAATCCAAGAGAACATATTGCAATAGCCTTTGTGAATTGTCCGAGAGCGACGCCATATGCAAGAGATCTTCCACGGCGCGACAAACCTGTTCTTGGCCTCCCGTTCCCAGCGGGTTATTCATCTATGTGCGATAGCTGCAGCTACATGGATGCGAACCCGGAGTCGCTGACCCGGTCGGCTGATTTAGTTGCGGTACCGAGGCGGACGATGCCTGCGGTGAGATGGCATATCAGCTGAGGTTTGGAACATTCCGACACGGTGGGACGCACTGAAGTAAGCATGGGAAAGTGCCTCGGCAGCCGTAAGCCGCTCGCCATGATCGTAGCGCAGCAGCTTGTCTAGGAGGTCGATGACCTCAGTCGTAACGTTCGGCTTGTTGTCGGTGGTCACGAAGCGCGTCCATGACACCTTGGGATGACTGCACCATGTCTCGCCATGAGGACAAATTGCAATTGCACAGGTTGGTTGCGTGACTACAACGTGCTTACCTCTCTAGGAGACCGGGGTTGTCCGTTCGGATAAACAGGCCGTACTTCTCCAGATACCGCTCGAACGAATCTGTACCCAGGACTTTCAGTATGCGCAGGAGTTGATCCTCGTTATCCCTTCCTCGGAAAAAGTGTTCCTTGCGGAAGATCTACGGGCATAGCATAGGATTTGAGCCAAGATCAGGTTTCGTCGCCTTGACAGCCGATGTGCTTACCATGGATGCCAACATGCACCCAACACTCCATAGATCCAAACTGTAGTCATATTTCTTGTACTCGACCAAAAGTTCGGGCCCCTTGTAGTAACGCGAGCCGACCCGGATGTGATACTCCGTATCAGGATGATAGAACTCGGCCAAACCCCAGTCGATCAGTCTAAGCTATATTGCAAGATTAGTCGGCCTTGAGTATGGAAGCTGGTATCGGGTCTCACCTTGCGACGTGCCCGATCAAACATGACATTGCCAGGTTTGACGTCGCGGTGCATGATGCCGCGCGAGTGAACGAAGTCAAGTGCCTGCGGGCGCAAGCATTGCGTCAGCGGTCATTCTTAGCGCACCGAAACGATAGGATGCTCACACTAAGGAGCTGGAAGACATAGTGCTTGATTTCAATCTCCGTGAAAGTGGGATAGAGTTCCTTCCAGTCCGTGTTGTGCACATATTCCATAATAAGGCTGTTCGACCTCGAGGGTGAGTCGTGCACGACATCGAGCAGGCCCACAACGTTCGGGCCTCCAGCGAGATTCCGCAAGATCTTGATCTCGCGCTTGATTTTCCGCTTTGCGACCGGTTTCAAGACCTTGATGACGACGGTCTCTTCGTTAGACATGTCCACGCCTTGAAATACCTTACGTGACTTCAGCCCGTGTCTTCTTACGTCCATACGAAACTTACTTCAGAGTACTTTCCGCCTCCGATGCGGGAGATAATCTCATAGTTGTCCGGCACATTCCAGTCGATCCGTAGGCTTTCTGGAAGATGGGCACGATAAGCTCATATTGAACAGCGAATAGAAGTACACAACACAAGATGATGAGCCGATGTGCATTGAGGGAAGATAATATTGCTGACAAGGCCAGTGACTGGCCCTACTGCTGCGGTCGTCCCCGAGCCCTCATGGAACCTACATCCGTGCGCTGTTGGCCAGCAGACACTCGCAAAGTGTCATCTCGGGGGTTATCGTGAAGTCGATTAAGTGTGATGGGCCTTCTGAGCCATGGCGTACGAGGGTAGGAACGTGTCTCATAACCGGCTTCCATAGTCTTGCGATACAGAAGCAAGAACGTTCCAAGGCTTCCCACCGCATTGCTTTGTCGCAATATTATCTCCCCCCAGACATTCTGCAGACTAGATCTCTGCAGAAACCCCCGTTCAGCCCGACCAAGGATTTACCACATACCGTAGTCATACCACCCAGGTCCCAGTCGCGCGTTCACGTCCGCATGCACGCGAGCCATGTCGGTCGTTCCACAGTACGCTGCAGTTCTAGTAGAGCACAGGTCAGGAGAGGAAAGGGATCCCGTAGTGGAGGGGACCGGGGCTGTTCAGCGGTGGACGTCGGGCGTGAGCATCGTATTAGGCCACGATGCTCAGAGTTAACCACAAAATAAGGGCCGAAACCAAGCGGCACGTCGGTAGCAGGCGCCGGAATGGAGCGCTAGCCCCAGACCCTAACCTCAGCGCCCTTCGCCCTCCTCCCGATCTCCCGGCTCAGCGCATTACGATGCACTGCACAGCATAGCGTAAGGTCCTAATGACATCGGAGGCTATAAGATACAGTTGGGTGATGCGGAGAAACGAGATCTTTCACTCTTATCTCAGTGCTTCAAGCGACAATCCTTGCACGATAGTATCGACGTGTGCCAAGGTTGGCAATCATATGAGACTCGGTGTAGGCAGCAGCGATGAACCAGACGAAGAGCGCGCTGTATATAACATGTCGCCAGTTGTTTTGACCGTCTGCATTATATATAGCGGTTCTGGGGTAAAAGTACAGAGTGCGAGTACAAAAAGCCGCATGGGACTTGGCTAACGGTACAAACTCGTGTATGTGATGTCGAAGGTGGTGTCTACGACCAATAAAGATATCGGGGAGCAACAGGAGCAAGGTGAGAGCGATGACGAAAACAATACAATCTATCAGCCACCGTAAGACCCGAGCAGAAAAGGGAATGAGGCAGCCTGATGGAGCAGCAGAATGCAAGGTATGTGCGGTATCGAATGTCCGGAATATATATGCATCGTGAATGTTCAGTTGCAATGTCCAGTGAGTGCTTAGGGCATGCGAAGCACGTCACCCTCGAATGAGAACTCGCCTCGCTCGCGCAGGACCATCGTGGTCTTTGTGACCTCAGTCGTGTCGAAGTCTTCATGTTTGTCAGGTGGGATGGCAGCATTCAGGTAGGTGACAAGTGCGGCGATTGTGAGCTCGTCCGCATGATCATATGTCGTCCTGAACAAATATTGCACCGAGCGAGAGATAAATTCAATGCTGACGACCGCGTGACCGTCAGCTGAGGCGCACCGTGGCTGAACCGAGGACTTACCGGCCAGCAGGGGTGCCCAGGTCGGCCATGCGGGCAAGGGGTGTCTCGGACTCTACGTCAGACTCGCCCTCCGCATCTTCGTCCCCATCTGAACTGTTGAGAGCCGCTTCCTTCTGCCTGAGGATCGCTCGCCGCTCTTCGATCTTGCGAAGCCGTTCGGCCTCAGCGAGCTGCTTTGCTCGGCGCTTCTCCTGCCTCCTGCGAGCCTTGGCCTCATCGCCAGAGTCGGCCCCATCCTCAGATTCGACGTCCATGCTGTCCTCCCGCGCCCTCGCAAGCTCCTCCTGACGGAGGGCTTCCATCTGGGCGCGATATTCGGCGAGCTCGGCTTCCTTCTGCGCACGCTTCTGTCTGCGAAGGTATTAATTCCGTCGTCTGTGGGCATGAGGCGGAACACTCACTTCCTCTTGAGACACTTGCCCCTGTGCTGTTGCCACGGATATGCGCAGTACGAGCTGTCCTGTCGCAGTTGCACCCATTTCTGACAGATCGTACAGAAGACGCGGTTGGGTTCGACTTCGCCGATCAGAGGGTCAGAACGAAGCTGCGCGGCGCGCTGCTCAGCATTACGTCTCCGTGACTCTTGTGATGGTGCGAAGTTGGATGGGTTGAGATCCTTAAAGGAGGTTACCGAGATAGGAGAGGCAAAGGAGGGTGCTTCTGACGCGGTCTTCGTTGACGGAAGCGGGGGCGTAGGTAGCGAGGAAGACGAGACGAGAGCCATGAGGTGCCTGGACGGCGGAGGTACGCTGTCAGCTGTGGGAATACTAGGGTACGTAAGCATGGATGATTAATGTAACACTGGTGTCGTGCTCACTTAGCATTTGCGGCTGCAACGGTGGTGCTGGTAGGCGTAGGACGATTTTGGAGGCATGTCGTCCGATGCTGCAACCATGTCTGGATCGCTTGTGCGTCATCTTTCGTGCCCAGGGCCACCCAGGTCTCGCAAATTTTGCAGAGAACACGCTCTGAGTCGAACTTGCGAACCTGCGGGTCTGTGGCAAAGAGCCCACTCCGATCCCCGTTAGGATTAGGGTGCTTAGAACTGCCAAAAGTCAATGCAAAGCAGCGCGGTACGAGGAGCGGCCTTACGCTTTCTTCGTTAAGCAGCTCTTGCGATGAGCATCCCACGGGATTGAGCAGTAGGTGGAGTTTGGCCGCAACCGGATCCATTTATCGCAGGATGCACATAGGACCCGGTAAGCTTCAAACTGCGCGACATATGGGTCTGAACGCAAATAGTCGATACGCTCATCTTCTGTGCGTTTTGCGCGGCGACGCTTCGGTTGTGGCACGACCGGTTCGCCTTGAGATTCCGGCGTATAGAGGACGGGATCGCTGACGGTGATCTGCTGTACTGCACTAGGACTGTGCGAAATGAATTGGGCGCAATCCATGTACGCAATTAGGACTCACCATTGCTGCCGATGCAAGTCCCAGTGCTTTACCGTAAATCCACCCGTGGCCTCGTCTCTGAACGATATACTCGCCCCACATGACTCGCAAGTGACGCGCCCGGTCTCGTACTCGTTCTTCGGGGGATGCACGTCCGCTGTCTTGTCTGTCACGTTTTCATCTTCTGAAGGCGGTACGCCTGGGCCTTGGGGCTGGGCCTTGCGTTTCTGTGGTAATCTGGGGGTCGCACTAAGGATAAAATCCCCGTGTACAGGGGAAACACGCACGTCGACTCTGAAGCCATGGCACGCGACTCAATTGATGGGGCTTGGAATCTGTGCAGCACACTTGGTAAACGACTTGCAGGGGACAGAGGGGGACCTACTGTAACCGTATCGGACTGTCAATGCATGCCCAGGCTAAGGTCGTGCACCCCTCGAGCGCGAGCGACGGACTCGCTGCTGGCTAATAGGGATGGGGATCCCGAACGAGACGGGTGACGGTGAGCCAAGAGGGATGCTAGCTCGTGGTTATAAAACAGAATCGGAGAAGCGAAACATTTCAATGCAAGGAAATCATTTCCAGAAATTGAAAAACAAGATGCGCGAGCGAATGTCCCATGCCAAAAACGGAAGCTCGCTCTCCAGTCATGTTGATTCCCGCGTCCGCTGACGGCACTCAGGGCTCTCCCCCCCCTTTCTCCCTCGTTACTCGTCAGACATATCGCCCCTCTTTGCATATTCAGAATCGCCTCTAGCCCGCACATGTGGGTGGTATGTCGGCCAAGCTGTCTCAGATAAACCCTCACAACATCCTGCGTGTGGAGAACGTTCGACAGGGATGTCATGTCGTACATGACCACACTTTCCAAGGTTCTGTGATATGTCAAACGCTTTGGGAAATGCCCTGCTCCGTCTGCCTGCCCCTCATGGTTTGTTTCTCACCCTTTCGCAGCAAATCGTGGCTGTGCGAGTGTGCACGGAGCAGCCATACCTCTTTTAGCGCAATTCTGTCGAGCATTTCCCGGAATCTCCTCACTTCGAGTTACCGTCGGGTAACAGATACTTGACATGGTTTCCCTGTCTGCGAACCTGACATGCTTCTTCTATCAGTAGGTTCCGCCGGTACTGAGATTGGCGCGCTCTTTAAACGGTGAGCCGTACTTTCTCCATCGTGCATACGTCTTCTCCATACACCTTAGCTTTTGTGCTCGAGCTGTTGCTCTTCTGCTGCTGGGGGATAACCAGTTGGGCAATGTGGCTCGGTACTAAAGCTTGCGCAACTTAAATAGTTCGGTCCGCCCGATGAACTTTATACGGGCCCCTGGCCGTCCCACCAGTGTCTCCGTAGACACATGATATCACTATTAGAATTCTAGATGAGCCCAGACATGCGAAGTAACGCATGGGGCCGAGTAGAGGCGTATTCGTTGCCAAACAAGTGCGACCAGCGAGAACAAACTTAAATCAAACCCCGAGATATCATAAAGCCCATCGGAGCAGCCGTGCGTTTTCTATCCATCATCAAAGAACAGGAAAATAAGCATCTATTGGCTGCTAGCCACGAGGCGACTATATGGGTTTGTCGGCGGCGACGATACCGGGAGGGCGGAAGAAGTGGTTGCATATATTAACTGTATCCTCCATCGATAACTCGATGGTGTCCTCCTTCCACATTACGGCGTCAGCCACATGCACGTCTGGGGTCCAGAGCGGGCAACATTTGATACTTCCGCATGTATTTCCGCCATTGCTGAGGCTTCTGTCACAGAATGCGAAGCTGAAGACGCCGTTACAACTTCCTACTAAAGCGAGGGATATCTGGACGTGAGGGGAAGGGCTCACACCCTTCCATATCCTCCGCGCTCGAGGAAATCCTTCATGCGGTTGACTATCTTTTCCAGGCCTTGGAGCCACCCGTTAAGTTCTGCGTCGAACTTCTCATGAGAGGTGCCTTCTGTAAGGCGGTTATAGAAGTCGCGACGGTGTGGGACGGCTCTGATAGCGACCTAGGAGCGAGTATCTCCATGTCAAACGGTCAAAATACGGAAAGAGTATAACCACGTACTGTGACCACCGATCGGACGACAAAGGAGTGGTGATGTTTCAGGATCGTATCGTAGGACCGTCGGAAACAAACATGCAATTCCGCATTTCTGTCGGTCTGCATGTTCTGCAGTGCCTGACACGTAAAAAGAAGGCCACTGTTCCAAGATTGTCAAGAGATTCAGTATGTCTTCACACGCGACGGCCAAGAGAGGAAGGATCCCCAACACCTACCGAACGAGTCGTACAAGACAAGCGGTAGCATGACGCTCGCCTTCCTTGGTCTCGGTTTGCACCAGCTTCTCGAGAGTGACCGAGAGGTCAGGCTTGGCTCCATGGCGCGCCCGCACGCCCTTTGTCAAACAGAGTTAGTCCGCCGTGATGGGTGGTGTGTTCGTGGGAGCCGTTCACTCACAGCAATGTTGCTTCGCAGATCCGATTGTACGAAACTGAAAACCCCTGTCCCAAGCAGGTCTACACGTACCGCGGTAAGGAGATCAGAAGATTGACGGGGCGGATCACCCGCGCCTCACCGAACATGTTCATGAAATCATCCGATGCATGGAGGAACGAAGCGGTGTCCACTCCGTCCTCGGTAATGGGGACATCTGAGAACGACTGCTCAAGCGTCAGCGGTGAGAAATTCGAAATAAACAGGCGCAGAGGACGTCACGGCCCCAGGAAGATGTCCAAGGGTGACTCTTGTCAGGCGACGTACCTTCGCGGTTTCGTAATAAGGGGCCATCGTGATATAATTATGACTCTTGAGGTAGCGGACAAGGTCAATGATAGTTAAGAGCAGGTCGCGGAGGCCGATCTGCGCCCTCCCGCTTCCCCGCCGCGACGCAAAACGGAGGCGAGCACGATGCTGGCCTCGAGGAAGCCGGACGTACCTTGCAGCTGTGGAGCAAAGCCTGGTCCGAACTATAGCAGTTTCCTGATCGGGAGCCAGACTCCTTCTCAGCAGCCTTGGAATGTTGTGTTGTTGTCTATAGTGCAAGGTTTAGTGCATGCATCAAGCCAGGTGTGCGTCCACACTACGCACACCTTGCTTGTTGCTCTATGGCGGTGCTGTGCTGTGCGTAGCACGCAGGAGCCGTGTGCTCGGAACTTGTGCGCGGTTTGAGCACTTCGAGGGTTAAGGTCAGATATGGGCGCTTCTTTATGGCGCTAATCAAGCACCTTTCGCAATCTTAGAGCGAGCTCTGCTTACTTTCGCCCACTGTCCCAACCTAGCTGTTTATCTTGAGCTTCTCGTCATGCTCGTCAAGAACCTAGCCAGCCACACATTCAATGCCCTTCGGCTTGTACGGTATGCTCGGATACGGCAACCACCGTGTCCAGGCGCGCTCTCAAGGCTTCCTACACGCAAGGTACTGGGGCTCGAGAGCAGACACTTCTCTTCGACGTGTGTGCGGAAGGATACATCCGAGGGACCTTCGTCGCACGCATCTCTTCCCCCTCAATCTAGCTCTTCTGGGTCGCCGCGGTCTAGCCTTTCCTTTCAAGCACCAGAACCCCGGCTTTCTCTCACTTTCACATGCACCGTGACGGACTGTGGTACACGTTCCACGCATGAATTCACCAAGAGGAGCTACACGAAGGGAATTGTCATTGTGCAGTGCCCGGGCTGTGAGAACCGGTGAGTTTTCAGCTCTCATGCAAATGGGTTCAATCTGGTTGGGCAGCATGCGTCCACGTATCGTGTGACTTTGTCCAGGGCGTACTGACGTGGTTTACCTTCAGGCATCTGATTGCTGATCACTTGGGCTGGTTCAAGGAGGGCACGGAGGAAGGCAAGCTAAAGACGATAGAGGACCTCATGCGGGCGAAAGGCGAGACGGTGCAGCGGGGCAGCATAGACACGAACGGTGTCATTGAATATGCTCCAGAGGATCACTGAGAGGTGGACGTAAAGGGGGTAGGATGATATGAACACAGTACATTCCGTTCCATGAGTAATGAAATTCATTAATTACGACCATCATGACTGAGCAAGCTCGGGCTTCGCTTCGGACTCTTCAAGCGGAGGCAGAACGCCCTTGTGCTCGAGCAGCTTCTCAAGCTCGCCGTTTTGGTGCACTGTGAGAATGATAGATGGGTTCCAGAGGCAACCTACGAGATAAGCTGGGACTCACTGCTCAGCAGAATGTCGCATCCGCCTACAAACTCTCCTTGGACATATAGCTGAGGAATAGTCGGCCAGTCACTTCAAGGACGTAAGCACCGATCCCCGGGATACAAAACGGTCCTACTCACGAGAACTCCTTGATGTCCTCCCTCAGCTGACTGTCTTCCAGTACGTTGAATGACGTGAACTTCTCCGGCGGTACACCTTGCATCTCGAGAATCTGTATTGCCGCTCTTGAGAAGCCGCACTGCGGCTGCTCTGGTGTGCCCTTCATAAATAAGACGACTGGTGTACTGCCGACGGTTTGTTGGATCTTCAGCCGCGCATCGTCGGTAATGAACCGCCTGGCAATGGCAAGCGAGCGCGGCGGGAGGGTCGGTGCGACCCGGAGAGGCGAGAACTACGCAGGGAGTTTAGCTACATGCGGCCTGCCACAGAAACGCATTCCTGCTCACAGATGCACGGAAAGCTGACCTGAACATGGCGGGCAGAGTGAAGGCGAGAGGGGCCGGATGAAAGCAAGAGAAACCTGGCGGCGGGCTGAGCTGAGAAATTCGGGCATGCGGAATTGGGCCGGTCACCGGCCGCTCAAGCGCGCGCTCGCGTGTCTTCCACGTGTCACTCATCCCGGCCGCCCCGATTAGGTAACGTAGGAAGAACGACCTCGGGCTGTCGATGAGCTTCTCCGTGAGTACGGGATCATCTTCCCAGGAATTTTATTGGGCTGTGGGATCATGTGATGCACGGACCGCAGTGCTGCGGACATGGACGCACCTGCAACCACACACGACATGTCACTGGCGGGTGATACCGCGCTGTTATATCTTCCCACCGAGGTCATATTGCTCGTCCTATCCACTTTGAAACCCGACGACGTGCTCAGTGTACGGAAGGTGCGTGTAGTCCAGGTTGTGTCAGCTCTGTTCCCCACATGTTTGCTGCTGCGGTGCACATTCCGTGCGGGCCTTCATGTCCCTCAATCCTCTTCTTACGCTTCGAAGCAGCACCTACTGACCAAACGTGGTGAACCAGACGTGCAAAGTATTATGCAATATCACACAAGACAGGGTGTTGTGGACCAACATCTACTTGGGTATGAGCCACGAGACACGCTATGTACTTCCGGGCCCTGCAGCAGCCGACCTTTTCGCTCCGTTGACGCGAGCAGAAGTAGAGTCCCTGGTCCTTTCCGTGAGCCTCACGGAGAGGCGATGGAAGCTACCTCGAAAGCCACCAAAACTCTTGGAGGCTTCCGAAGTCGTATGTTCTGCTGAAGAGCCCATGCATACGGGCATGAGCATCCTCAACATGAACATTCTTGCGGACCGGTGGCTGGTTGTCCTATACCAAGGCGATGCGGTCGAGATATGGGACCTGTGCCCCAACTCAGGTAGCAGCGCCTCCGGTGTGACAAGGGCTTGGAACGGCCCTGGTCCAGAGGATACTCCTTGTGCACCTTGCGCTATCAGACACACCGTGCAAGGGCTTGGGCCGTGCTGTATGTCGGCCGTCGTCCTTAGCGAAGATGGGCGCGACATTATATTGGCAGTTGGGAGGTGAGCCCAATGAGCTAAGCTTATGACCGTATCGAACTCATCGTCGTCATTACCCTCTAAGTCAGGTAAAAACGCAAGTCCTCAGGTTCAACCTTGCGCGGGAGCAAGGCACCGTGGACTGCGAGTGTCTCGCCACCTTCGAGACACCATCACCTCTCTATACGCTTCGCACTGTCGATCCAGCTTCACATAGTGTAATCTACAGCCATGCACTCTCTGTCTGCTTCGTGAACTGGAGAACACAGAAGTACTGCCTTGTGACATCAGAAGAGGACGGCGAGGAGCTTGTAAGCAGCACCGTTGCATGACCGACTCCCTCTCACAGCATTTCACTCATAGTGGAGTGGAATCATCGGGGTCGCGCTCCTTACAACCCATCATGTGCTATGCATGACGACGAGGTCTATCGTAGTCTATACTCTAGACTTTGTCGAAGATCTGCAACAACCCATATCACCTTCTACGCAGCGCAATCCGCTTTATCTCTACAACATCGGTCGGAGAACGCCCGTCGCGCAGAAGCAGGCCATCCCCGACGTTGCCTTCCGCGGCGTGTCCTTCAGCAAAGTGCGCGTCGTGTCCGGCGCAGAGACGCGGCGCGTTTCCGCGTCCCTGCTCACATACGACGTCCTGCGCGGGCTCTTCCACTTCGAGGTCACGCTCACGCTCCCACACGCCGCCGTACGCCGCGCACCGGCCGCACCGACGCCGCTGGACCTCTCCTGCACGCTTCTCGCGGCGCACCGCATGGCGCAGCTCGTCCCGCTCGAGGAGATCGTGCAGAGCGGCACGCCGGCGCCGCGCAGCGGCTTCACGCCCGGCTCGCGCGGGTTCATCTCTGCGTGCGCGCTCGGCGCGCAGGGCAAGCGCGGCGTGTGGATCGAGCGGCAGCGCAGCAACATGGGGCGCACCGTGTTCGGGTTCGCCGCCGCGGACCACCGTCCGCCGTGCGTGCCCCGCGAGGCGGGCTCTGCCTCCGATGGCGCGGCGGAGGAGCGTTCTGTTGCCGAGATTGACGGCAGGTGCATATATGCGGTACGCAGTTCCGTCGACCTGAGGGGTAAGTCGTAGTATCGAGTGTTGACGTATGCATTTGCTAACACTGGTGTTATAGACGACCTCACGCATTGCGCGTTCTCAGAGGTCACAGGCAGAATCGCCCTGGGCACTCGCCGGGGTCAGCTGTTGCTTCTGTGATGTTCTGCAGACGAGAGATCAAAATGTAGTTAAAAACAAACATTGTATCATACGACACGCTACATGTGCAACAACATACTGTGAATAGCGGTATGTCGACGCTATCGAGGGCGTGAGGGGTTGATTACGTCGAAGTTGTCTGAGCGTAGGATGTCGTGCAGACGTGCACTGGTGAACGTCGGGGTACAAGCGAGAGACTATTGACGGTTGAGAGCTGTCCATGCGAAGGGTAGCTCGATTAATCGTTCCTGGCAGTAAGTTACGCATCTGCTGCTGGGGCCATTGCCTCGATAAAAGCTTGCTGTCGGGCAGATTCATCCTTAAGTACGTGGGACCGTTCTTCAGCCATCTTCGGCGGCGGAGAACCAGTGTCGTTGCGACATGTCTCTCGCAAGTGGGCGGGCGCAACGAACGGCAGATGGCGCATTCCTCATTCTGTCGAATATGACTTTTCACGGCGAAGGTTTGCGGTACAAGGGACAGGCACCGTTCAACCCACCACAGATGTGCTCGAGAGAGATCGTTGGAGCCTGAGATTAGGGTGGTTACAATGAATAAAGAGCTCGAGATGCTGTCATCGTGAAAGTCATTCTGCGACTCGGAAGAACTTTCGCCGTACGGCGAGGACGCTGGCTGGGAAGCCTCGGTTCCAGAAGTCACCGGAAAGATGTAGCGGCTAAGCTAGCGTCCAGGAGAGATGGTGCCATCACCGTTATTACTGGAGTCGTCCCATGGTGCTAATCCGTACGTAGGCTTGAGTCCCAAGTGAGGTCGTCGGCTGCAGGCGCGATGGCAAAAGGAGGAAACGTACCATCCGTTCCCGGCGCTGTCGAAGACACGCTAGGAGAGAAGTGGGTCTCGCTACAGCTGCTCGTTTTTGTTCGCCGAGACTAGCGGCTGACGTTAATATCCTCGAACGTACACTCACTGGTAGACAACTTGAACGGAATGATCTGTGGTTCAGCGCGTCCGCGCCGCAAGGGTCTCCCGAGCCAGAAGATTTCAAGATCTACTTTGCAAGGTCTCGAGTACTTCAGGCAGGGTTACGCATGAGGCTGCAACGAAGCAATCTTTCTGGTATCCGGCTGCCTCTGGGTACCCTACATCTGGAGGGATTTCGAAATTTCTTGCGCCTCTGAGGCGAAAAGGGAGCGCATATATTTTGGGAGTCGCATTTGCCTTTGATTGAAGTGGTAATATAACCTATTGTAACAAGTATGTGGTCAACTCAGAACATTCCTACATATATGATATAAGGAAGATGTTCAGTGCCCGGGTTGGGGATGAAACGGTATCTAGAAAGCAAAAAATGACTGAGAAACTTCTGAACGCAAAAATGCCAAAATGATCGAAGGGTGTACCAGGTTCCGGTCCAAAGGGTAGGGCGACTGGCGATGAGAGAAAGCCCCTCAATTTGAGTGAGCGGATATTTGGTAATGTGAGTAGATATTCGAGAATGGACGCATTAACGCGAGTCAGGACCGGCTGCAGCCCGGCATGACGACTTCACGCATGGCAGGCAGAATCGCTCTGAACACTTGCCAAGGTCAAAAATACTGTGATACTCCACAAACAAGAAAATGCAGTTACAACAAACATTCTACTATACAGCAGGTGCGATAGCATGATACAGCGATTGTGATTTTGGTGCAGAGAATCTAGACGCGGGTGCCGTAGACATCTTTGGGCTCAATGCCAGATTGGCCCTTGCGAATGTTGGACTGTGCCCACTTTTTGATACGGATGGACTCAATCTGGATGAATCCGGTGGTGTCGGTCGGTTCGAAGCCACCGAGCTCATCCATGGACGACTGCTTCTCGTCGTACAGACCCTGTGATAATATGAGAGTAGAGCAAACAAGGTCGAGGTGTGGGACATACCTCGTCGGAGGAACGGCCCTCGACAACGACGTTGCCTTTGTAAAGCTTCAGACGGACGACACCGTTGACAGTGCGCTGGCTGGCGGGGATCGAGCTTACGACGAACTCGCGCTCGGGGGTGAACCAGTGGCCGTTGTAGAGGATTCTGCCCAGCTCGACCGTGACGAATTGGTCACGCAGCGCACGGACGTTGCGGTCGAGGGTGAGGCCCTCGATGTCCATGTGCGCGACACGGAGGATGGTTGCGGCCGGCGATTCGTAGCAGCCACGGGACTTGACGCCAATGAAACGGTTCTCGACAATATCGATACGGCCAATACCGTGCTTGCGGGCGAGTGCGTTAAGCGCGAGGAAGACGTCGACCGGGTCGGTATACTCCTTGTTCTCGACGGGCACGGTGACCTTGACGGGCAGGCCGCGCTTAAACTCAATAGAGATGCGTTCAGGAGTGTTAGGTGCGTTCTCTGGGGAAGCGGTCAACTTCCACATGTCATCGGGAGGGGTGGTGTTGGGGTCCTCAAGAATACCGGCCTCGTAAGAGATGTGGAATAGGTTCTCGTCAGTCGACCATGGCTTGGCGGCGGTTTGCTGAACAGGAATTTGCTTCTCAGAGGCAAACTGGAGCAGTGCCTGGCGACCAGCGAAGCGGTTGTAGAATTCGGGGATACGCCATGGGGCAATGACTTTGATGTCTGGCTTCAGGCCGTAGAACGCAAGCTCGAAACGGACCTGGTCATTGCCCTTGCCAGTGCAACCATGCGAAACGAAACTGGGGTAAATCGATTAGCGAATCTTCACGTTGTGGGACTTATTACACTCACTCGCAGCCTTCACGATCAGCAATTGCCATCATGCCACGAGCAATGACAGGACGGGCGAGTGAGGTTCCGAGAAGGTAGACATTTTCGTAGATGCAGTTGGCCTGAACAGCAGGGTAGATGAGCTCAGTAACAAACTCGCGCTTGAGGTCCTATTGATAGGAATCAAAGGTGAGTAAGTGCATTTATAGCCAAAGCGCATATGGCGGCATACCTCCAAGAAGAATTTCTTGGCACCAACACTAAGGGCCTTTTTGCGGGCAGCCTCGAAATCCTGAATATGGCGTAAGTACGTTGAGCAAACACGATCGATCAAGTAAAACCATACCTCCTCCTGGCCGACGTCAGCCATGAACGCGTAGACTTCGTAGCCCTGCTCGATGAGCCACGCCAAGATGCACGAAGTATCTACACTCGATGCGTTAAAAACTTGAAGACGAGCACTACGACGAAAACCACGCACCGAGGCCTCCAGAGTAGGCGAGCAGAACACGACCCTTCGACTCGGACATGTTTTGAGGTGGCTAGGAGATGGTGGGAGAGAAAAGAGAGCAATGCAAGCTAAAAAGTCTTTATGGATGACTCCAGTCAAGTCTGCACGCGATCTAGATGATTGGCGTCTACAAATACTGTCGTACGGGGATCGCCGATGGCGTCTATCGCAACAAGTCCAGACTCCTCGGGCGGAAGCGCCGTATCGCCAGACCGAATTGAGTGAACCAGTTCTCCCAGCTCCTCCTCCACCGCCGCCCACTATGCCGCCGCAACCAGGCGTATTCGCCCTTCCCTACGCCTCCACACACAAGTCTCGAGTTACAAACGGTACCATCGAAAGCGTCGACGCCGGGAGCTCGTACCACCCGAGCAACCTGGGTGCAGGTCCGAGTCGAATGCGTGGTCAGTCCGCGCCGTATTCCTCGAGGCCTAGCTAACCCATAGGAAAACAGCAACGCCTATAGAAGATCCCAGCGGAAAACGCAAGCGGAAGGAGCTATCGAGCAGACCCAGCAGAGAGCACCTAGAAAGGTAAGGCCTCCGTTGTTGCTCTTCCATTGCGGTGATTGATCGTATCGCAGCGCCCATTACAGCCCAGGAAAGCACTACAGCGAGACGATCCAGGAACTAGCAGCCATTGCGTGTCAGCTGGCGACACACCCAGAACTTGTACCCTCATACCAACTACGACTGTACCCATTTTCCTTGGAGCGTTCGGCCCTACTGGCGTCGATGCAGCACGAAGAGCAGCATGCACTCGAGTGCGTGCAGCAGGCTTACGAAGAAGAGCGCGAACGCGTCGAAGAGGAGTGGAAACGCGGTAGGGAGAGAATCAAGGAGCGGCTGCTCGAAGGCATCGAGGAACGGCGCAGACGCGCGAGGGAAGACAAGGAGGGCGAAGGAACGTCTGCAGGTACGCTCTGCTGCATTCGCGTGACTACTCATAAATTTGAACTCATCATAGACGCCACACTCGACTCGCAATCGCGTCCACATATCACGCGCAAGCTGCGAAACAAATTAGGTGGGACATCCCCACCGCCGACACCGCTGGCCTCAGGCACGCCTGGTGGCGGCATATCATCTATCACCTCTGGCCCCATAACCTCTGGTCCATTCCTGAACCCACACTCGCTTTCGGTTGACGAGCTGCCTTCACCATTCCCGCTGCCACTAACGTCGGCTCATTTAAACGCCGGCGCGGGGACGAATGGAACGAACAATAGGCGGCGTGCGAAGGGTGGCGGACGCGAAGCGCAAGCCGTTGGCGGCTTGGGTAAGAGCTTGCAGCTACTGACAGGCTGCAAAGAGTCGGAGACAGATCAGGACCTTGGAGAGATCAGACGAACGAAGAAGCGCAGGGTCGCTGCTGGTGGCACTGCAAAGGTTTAGTATTTAATGCCTCCTTTAGGATTTCTCGTTGTGAGTCTGCCTCGAGTCGCAGTGAACGGGTCATTACTGATCTTCTCCGCAGTAGTATTTTAATGCTTTGGTGCTGTATACCATCACTGTATTCATTACATGGGAACCGGCAACTGTTCGCTTGCGAGCGCAAATATTGCTGGTTACGAACTCTTCCGCCAGCATCTCGAAGCGATCCGCGATGGAAAGGCGACCCCTCCTTCGATTAGCAATCATGGTCTGCTGAGCTGCACATCTTCGTGTGAACCACGGAGGCCGAGAACGCAACAACCCGTCATCTCGCCGGCGACTCAATTGCTTGCGTCCGGGGACGAGTACGACGGGAGCGTGCGTACGGGAGCGACTCAGAAGGCGATAGGGACCAGATGAATGCGCGTGTGTTCGGCGTGCGGTACCTGAGCGGTGTTCTCTGTGATCGCCAGCCCGACCTGCGTTGCAGCCCTTACACCATCGGGGCGCGTGTTCGAAATCGAAACAGAGTCGTGCATCGCACCCGCAGGGCCCTCGCCCGCATGCGGGGAGAGAGGGCCAATATTGTTCGCAGATCCGGGCGAGAGATAACGATGGGAAAGAAGCTCGCCCCTCCGCTCGTCTCGCGGTCGCGGCGAAGAAAGAAGCCTATCGCGCTAGTCAATCTCACGAAGGCCTCGCCCGTGACCGTCCCGCGTCGCACACAGAGCCGTCCGAAGCCTACGCGGCGGCCGCGGACGCACGCCCCCGGGCCCGACAATGGTCGCGGCGCGCATGGCTGGGCGATCCTCGCGCGCTGTACTGGGAAGGGCTGTCAGCGTTGTCTCTTCCATGCCCTGTGGGGTGGACGCGTGTTGGACACAGGTGTGAATGGTGGCTTGCCTGATGAGAACGTCGAACGGCCAGGTTTACGTTCGCAACACGCAATCATCATGGTTCTCGCGGGAAACCTGCCAGCCAGCCTGAGATGGTGCCGCGGTTGAACACGTTAATGCTGCGCGGGTGAGACAAGCGTCAGCTGGCGGGGCGTATAAAGGCTGGGGGAAGACGTACGGGGAAAGCTGGGTCACGGTGCGGACCGAGCTGCGGTGTATAGATTAAAACGTAAGGACTACAGAGGGCTAACATAACACTTGCACACGCTACAACAATAGCAGGATGAAGTTTGATAACGGATAAACGTGCCGGGTTTGCACCGGGCCATCGGAGAGCAAGAGGGAATCTGAGACAAACCTATTAAGAGTAAAAAGCAACGAGGGCAGTGTAAAGAGCTAGACACAAACTTAACAATTACCACAAGCGGGTTGCGCAAGAGAGGTGCCAGGCATGTATATGACCGCGTGCTAGGATCGATGAGGGGTCTGGCAAGAACGATGTGGTACCAATTATAGGCGATCATCTTCTTGCAGCGTCTCCTGGCTCGCTCCGCCGTTCTTGCGAGCCATTCGACTCATTGTCACTGCCGTCCTCTCCACTGGAGAGGGCGTCAGGATTGGATTGTCGCGCCTGCCCGCTTCCCCGAGAGCGTCCAGGCTCCCGTGTCCGCTTTTTAATCTGTGAATGATACAGTGAGGCGAGAGGCGGTGAGAGAGAGACAGAGAACATGTACCAGCTTGGCATAGACCAGGCCGCAGGCATTACATAGTGTTCGCGGCCCTGATTGTAGTTGAGAACGACCGGAGAAACGGGAAGCATGGAGGAGCGAGTGACGTACCCATGGGCCCACGTCTCCACTCAGGTGTTGATGTTGCATTGCAGCCCAAACATGTCTGGCCGCCTTCTACCACCTGCTCACCTCTCTGAGATGGCCGATAATTGAGAAACATGGCTGTCGCGAGGGGTGAGAATGATGCACGCACCGATATGCTGACCTGTCTCGTCCGACCCGGGCCTTCCTCGCCTTCCTCTCCGCCGGCTGCCGGACGAACCGTTTCGGCGGCTGTACGCTGAACTGCGGTGTCGAGCACCGTCTGGCCATACATCGCGGCGTGTATCATCCGTTCAAAACTTTCGGCAGCCGCCTCTCCACGCCCCGCGCTTGCTATTGTGTTTGCCGAATCAAGGATGCCGCGGTAGGAATCAGCGAGCTGGGGAAAAAGCAATCGTATACGACGTCAACCACAGGCCGCTGGACCAGGGAGTGCACGCAGGAGTGGCGGGGATGGGGGTGAAGGAGATCAGCGTGCTTACTTTGTTGTAGTCCAGAGCGGCCGCAGCAGGCGACAGCAGCGTGGGCCCCGTGTTCTCGTTCTCTGCCCTGCTACCCCTCCGTCCTCTCGCTGGAGGAGGCGCCAGATCACCTCCTGCCCGCTCGGCTCTTTCCTCTGCGCGACGGGCCTCCAGGTGGGCAGACCCGGCAGGCGGTGCGTTCCCTGCCTCGCCTCCAGACTGAGGCGGATGCGCGTCCGCCCGCGAGAAACCCTGCGCTCCTTCCTGTTGCACGCTCGCCGCGCCCGGCGACACGAACGGTGCGGCGTACGGCGGCCAGCCCTCGGGCGACGGCGCGTTCCACTGCGGCGTGTTCGTTTGCGGGGGCACGCCGTACGGCGGGGGCGGGTATCCCTGCTGGGGGTAGCCTTGCGGCGGCGTGTTGTACGGTGCGGGCTGGGCCGGCTGGGGAGGCGAAGGGTGCGGTGGGGGCGCACCAGTGCGTGCAGGACGGGACGAACTCGGTGGATATTGGGCGGGGTCGTACGGCGGGTAGGGCGGGTAGCCATACTGTGCGGTGACATCTTGCGGGCTCTGAAACAGATAGCGACCATCTGAGGACATGGCTGAGGGCGAGCGAAGGGCGTCGCGGAACTGGGAGCTGCGTCTGCGGTCGGTGCTGTCGCGGGCGTGGGCGGGCGGGACTAGCGCTTGCTCGAGGGAGGAATAAGAGCTTGGACGGGCTTGGTTGAGCGCACGCGTCGCTGTAAAGGGCGCGCCGTCGCTGTGCGGGGTACGGTGTGATTGTGAGCGATCGTGCGGAATGTTGGGAGGCATGAGAGCAGCATAGAAGTCAGAGCAGGATGCAGGCAGTCGGGCACCGCCAGCCCATCGTGCAGGACGTCGCGGTCAAAGAGGACTCGGCAAGACATCCTGATCAACGAATGGCCGTCTGAAGGAGGTTGCTAGCGTCCTCTCCCAAACTACAACTCCATCAAATTGGAATAATCCCTTTTTTTTTTTCAACCGACAATCCGTCCAGATCTGCCGATCTGAGCGACACACCATCGAGATTGGTGGCACTTACGCTCGATGTTCCACACCTGTTTTGCACGCTCCCCAACGCACAGAAAATCCAAAGAGGACTTTTGTGCCACGAGAACAGATGTGCAGAGCCAGAGCCGGCAGGCGGTGACCGTTCGGGTTGAAAAGAACGTTTTCGCTCTGTCTCTGGACGGGCAGCTGTCTAACCTCCCCAATTGGGCTCCTATTCCCGCTCCCGTTTAGGGGTGCTTCGTCACTCGCGTTTGTGCACTCAGACTCTGGCTGAAACAAAGACTGCAACAACGTTGCTCCAGAGTGCTGCCCCTACACCGACAGACAGCGAAAGGAGATTTCCTACTCACAGGCTGGCAGTTCCGTGCAATTCGAACACAGAAGCGGAGCTGATTCTCCCGGGGACACTTGCCGGGCGTCCGAGGTCTAGTGAATGCCAGCGGAGTCTAACATTTAGCTCATTCCGACGCAGACTCCGACGGCCTCGTGCGCTCGGAGTCTGTACCATTAGGGCGCGGAGCCCAGGAGGCACGGACGCGTGCTTCTGCAGTGTAATTGTGCAGGTGCCTGGATATGGTTCATGCGGACCCACGGCTTGTACGAGCCGTCCACACTCTATCATGGCGCCGCACAGTTGCACGCACGCTGCCTGCGCGTGTCCCAGGGTCGCAAGCTATACGGGCCCTAGTCTGGCGAAGCGTCCTGCTTCCCGAGTGCGCGTCATTACCGCCGAGCCGGATAAATTCACACAGGCTGAGCCCAAACTGCATGTCCCTTCGGTATGCCGGCTTGCACGTAACAATGAAGGTAGGAGGCCTCTGCTACGCGACGGCATCTGTCAAGGCATCCATGGAAGTGGGAACGGCCGCGAATGGCGGTGCAGCAAAGAGTAAAATACTTCGCCTGGCGGATCGTGGTATTTTCGTAGTGCAGTCCATGTGTCGTGGATGACACATCTCAGCAAAACCGCAACCGTACAGGAGAAAATCGTAAGACCACTCATATTGTGGCCATCCGCGCACTCAGAAACTGACAGCATGCGTCCTAGATGAAAGCACAATGTATAGTTTGTGTAAAACATATAATACAAGCTGCTGCGCATATCTCGCCTGCCCCTCGAGCACTCTAGTTCTTGCCGAGGAGGTGCTTGTGGAACCAGTTGCACGTCGCCTTGAACGCACCCTCCTTCCCAGCAAGCACCTTCGGGTCGCTCTAGAAACGGTGTCTCCCGATGAAAATCGCATGCTGACACACCCATGACACTGCACGGCACTCACCAGGTCGCCGCGGACGGCAAAGCCGTGTGTGCAGCCCTCCCAGTACGTGCGTTCGTAGCCCGCCTTGTACTGTCCGTTGCCTAGCAGCTCGTCCGTCTTCTGTTGCGACTCAATCGGGAACTGCGTGTCGATCGTGCAGCTGTTGATCAGCACCGGGACGTTCGACTTTTCCTTGAGCGTCTGTTCCCAAAGCGCAGCGCAGCACGCGCGTGTGAGCATGTGGTTCTTCTCGTCTCCCACTGATGAACTGACCTCGATGTCCTTCGGGATCTGCAGGAGCGACGGGTGCGAGACCGCAAGCGCGGTGATCGCGTTCTCGAACGCGAGGTTGAAGCCCGACCGGGCACCGTAGCAGAAGCCAGTAACACCAATCTTGGTGACGCCCTGCTCCTTGAGGGCGGCGAGCACCTTGCGGATGCGGGGCTCGGAGAAGTCGGGGCCGTTGCGACCGAACCACTCCTGCATGTTGAACGTGCTGCCAGGTCCGAACGCGTCCATCGGGGCCGGGTCCTGGAAAAGATTGGGCGCGACGACCTTGAGACCGTGGCGCGCAAAGTCGTCTGCGAGGAGCTGCAATGGGCATAAGCGTCGTCAGAGGAAGAATACGGCAGGAGGACACGCCTTGGCGTTCACGAGCTGGATACCAAAGATGTCCGTCAGGAAGACCACGACCGCGTCCTTGGCGTAGTCACCCTCGGGAGTAGCGATATAGCATTCAATACCAGCGATTTCCTCAATCCGGCCTGTGGAAGCCTTGAGCATGCGTACCGCGACTTGAAGAGACGCGGTCTCATACCCTCGGGAGTGCCTTCGTGCTTGATGCCTAGCGGAGGGTCAGCACCAGGTGAGCGGCTTCAACTTGGGCATAGCACGCACCCTTGAAGCAGTCGTCGCAGAAACTCATGGTCGCGATGGTCTAGCTGGTGAGAGTAGTAATGGGAACGAGGGATGGCGGGTGAGAATCCTACGCTAATCCGGGGCTGGTTTATATGCCTCCAAGACACTAAGTTAGCATCGAAATCGATAGAACTCTACAGGTGATATCATTGTCCAGTCGTGATGGTCAAAAGCCGAGTTGCGCCCTGTGAGAGCGTCACCGAAGCTTCACACCGCTCGCACTCGCACTCGCACTCGCCCGCCGGAAACATAGCCGTATGGCATGGGAACCCCGCCCGAGTTCTGTCACGCAATCCTGCCACGCAATCCTGCCTCATCTTCCATAGCTCTCTGTTGATGCGGTTTATAAGGTGCGCGGAGGTTCGGCGAGTCTGCAGAGTAGGCGGTCCAGTGGCAATTCAGCAAGCTTTGGAAGGTCGCGGAGCAGGGATTCCGCGTAGTCAGCACGACTCACGTCACTGGCGCGACACGGGTCCACGCGCCTCCAAGAATAACGCGAGCGAACATCCTCCTACCGCATAAGCGAGCACAGAGCTGCACCGTTGTGATGTCTACGCCCCGGACTGTCACCCACCGTCACTCATGTTGGTGCGCGTCGCGACGGCAGACGCGAGACGCGAATGCGCGTGGCTCGAATTAACTATATAGCTTATTCATTGAGCTGACCAAGTTGAACAATGACGTGACTAGACAGCCTGCGGTCTGAGTCGAAGAAGGCAACAGTTACACCAGCGTCGTCGGAACGGTTCCCAGGCCCGCAGCGATGTCGCAACTCACGGCAAAGTACCATTTGCAAAAGTCGTACATCTTATTTTATGGTCAGCCAACAAAATCTCTGTCTCTGGTTCAGTCTAGGCACTCTTTACGCCCCAATTCTCTAGACTCTCGCTCAGCTGCCCATACTGCCTGGATCACCCACTCGACTTGCCGATTTCGACCTTGAGCTTTGAGTTCGGACAATCAGTCGCCAAACGATACCCCCCTAGTTTAGTGCCACTGTAATCGAGCTAGCTTACTGTCGCTGCACAGTCCGCTGGATCTCAGCTAGTGGTCGAAGGTGCGCTTCCCGCTCGCTCGTCGTCTGTGGGACGATGTGGCGTAGAGTCGTGAGAATTCACTCAAGCCTCTTTCCTTCGCAGAACCAGCCGCAAGCTCATAGAGAGTGCGGGCGCCTGCAACGACACGCAGTCCGAAGCCCGGCAACGCAGAGCATTGCAAGGGTCTTCACATCCGCTCAGATGGAACTATGACAAGTGCGAAGCCCAGAAACACGACATCCGAGCTTCACCGGCTCAAGCACATCGCACGCACACGTGGATGCAATGCAATAAGCAATCTTGGGGAGAATAAGGGAGATATTACAGGTGAGAGAGACATTACATGTGCGAGTACGATAAATGAGACTAGAGTACCTGAATAATACAACAATAAACTACGATACAAGCGACATACACACCCCGTCGGCCTATATCTCATGTCCCCTTCGCGTTGCCCATCTGCATCTGCTGCGCGTGCGGCTGCAGCATGCCAGGCGGCATCCCACGTCCGATGCCCATCGCCGGCCAGTACTGCGGCATGCGCCCCGCCGCGGCCGCCTGCTGCATGTTCATCCCCATCTGTGGGTAGTTGTACATTGGGTAGTGCCCCTGCATCATTGCCTGGGCCTGGGCCTGTGCGGCAGCGGCAGCGGCAGCCTGGTCCTGGCCCTGCTGCTGTGGCAGCATTCCGCCCGCCTGTGCGTTCACGTTCGCGATGTGTGGCATCAGCTGCGTGTGTGACGCCATGGCTGGACGGTGTAGCGCCGGGTTGAACTGGTGATTCTGTGCCTGCGCCATCGTCGCATACTGGCTATACGCTTGTGCTTGCTGAAGCGGCATCTGCTGCACCTGCGCGTTGTTCGGCATCGGCGATCGCGCCAACGGTTGGTTGACATGCATCGGACTGCTTTGCTGGGGCACCTGCTGCTGGGGCTGGTGCTGCTGAGGCTGGTGCTGTTGCGGCTGGTGCTGTTGCGGTTGCTGCGGGTGGGAATGGGTTGGTTGCTGGGGTTGCTGGGGTTGCTGCTGCATACCCTGATTCCCAGCAATGGCCGTTGGCGGACGTGGCGAGGCGCTCTGGGCAGGGGTCGCGGGGCCGTTTGCGTTTAGCCGAGCTTGCTGTTGTGCGAGCATGAACATCCTGGCCTGCTGTTGGGCTAACCATTTCTGCTGCTGCTCTTGGGTCATACCGCTTAGTTGTCGCTGAAGGCTTGCAGCAATCTCAGGCTGTTTGATGTACACGGATATAAGTGTCCGGAGGTACTAGGAGGGGGCGGGAACCTGACCTTGTTCTGCAATCTAGCGAGCCACATGGCCATAGTCTGAGGAGTTGTGGGCAGCTGGATATTCGGCATATTTGGCATCGTTGGCTGCGCGGGCGGCTGTGTTTGAGGAGCAGTAGGGATCTGTTGGGCCGGTTGCATGGCAGGCGACTGCATTTGCGAACCAGGCGGATGCTGCTGGATCTGTTGATTCGTGTGCTGCAACGGCTGCTGTACTGATGACGACCGCATGACAGGACTAGCTTGTGGGGCGATGGACACAGAAGATGGAGGTCGTGGCATAGGTGTCTGGGAAAGCTGCGGGGGTGGTGGCGTATTTCGGGCGATGGGGTACATTTGCATATGTGGTGGTATTGCAGACTGCGGTACGGTGGATGGCGGGCGAGGTGATTGTCTGACGGTCTTTACGGGCTGTCCACTGGGAACTGAGAGCGCCGCGCCAGTGGGCGGCGCTGGAATAGATGGCGCAGGCATGATACTGGGTAGATGCGTGGTTGATTGCGGTAGTGGTAGAGGGGATGGATTTGCTTTGATCAGCGAGGTCGGGTTGATACCATAGTTCCCTGCATCATCGGGGTTGGCTGGTGGTGCAGTTAGCTGCGCAGGTAGGATAGGTTCTGGTTGTGCTGGAGGAACATTCGGCTTGCTTTCCTTCGTCTTCTGCTGAATTTCCAGAATGTGGTAACTAGAAAGCAATCAGTCTGTGCCAACTCAGACTGAAGCGGGGGGGCGTACTTTGATGGAGTAGACCTATTATGACGCGGGTTCAAATATTGCGAGATCTTGACCCGGCGGGCCTTATCACTCTCCTCTTCCTCATGTTCCATAGCAGCGGCCTTACGCTTGAGTGATGGAGGCGTTTTGGGAACCGACACTCTTAGAACATGGCTCGCCATCCGTGCGAGATGCGGGTCAGGGTCCAGACATAGCGGTGGAGCAGTAGCAACCTTCATCGGGCGGCGGTAGAGTCGTAAATACGCTTTCCGTTATAATGCTGACATACGCACTAGTATCTGCGCCTCCACCTTGAGAGATTCCTGATCCGTCCACATACTCCCTGCCTTCTGGTTCAACAAGCATATATCGGCCCACAGGGTTTCGGGATTTGGCATCAGTACTGCACGAGACCGCTCGGGGTTCACAAGTATCGGATCCTTTACTTTCTGAGGTCTATAGTCAAGGAGCTCGACGATCATGCAGCCTGCGCTTCCGAAGTTCTGTCAATTAAAATTACGCAGACTAGCGCAGAACAAACCTTCGTAGAACGGCAGGTTGGCGGAGTCAAAGAGCTCAAGGAAGTCTGCAGGTATCCGCTGCGCGCGTATATCGTCCAGCAGCGACTATAGGGTGGAGTCAGAGACAAAAGCACTCGGGGCGGATGCCGCGGCTACATACCGCGACTTGGTTATTGTACAAGAACTTGGAGCCATTATTCAACGTCCAGTGTTCGGGATATAGATGCACGGTGAAGGACGGAGGTGATGACTCGTGTTGTGCCAGAAGCCCCTCAACGGAACGAGTGACATTATAGTCCGTCATTAACCTCGTCCGTGAGCTACAACGCGCCACGAATAAGCCGCTCGGGTTGGGACTAGGCCGGGAGTGGTGTGCAAAGTGACAGGGGCCTCTTCCCAAACGCTATGAGAAGCGCTGGCCTCGAAGACGTGGTCGCTGTGCTCGACGTCGTGCAGACCGCGATGGTCAACGTACGAGTCTGGCCCCACCAAACACAGACACTGTGATAATAACCTCGTCTTACGTAATGCATGCTGTACATCATTAGCCAGACGCCCACCAGCTACCTCCGCCTACTCACGGAGAAAATGTCTGCAGACCAGTTACGAGAGGTGTGTACGCTTGTTGCGCATAAGCATGCTAAAAATGAAACATCTTGTAGCTGCTACCTTTTCTGCGCGACAAGAACCCTCAGGTTCGCCAGATCGCGCTACAAAATCTTTTGGGGCACACACCCAAGGAAGCGCCTCTTCGCAGCATTTTCCTCAGCGACCTTCGGGGAGGAGGCACTCAGGACAACGACGTCCTGCGAGATCTCAAGATTTTATGCCGCGACCATCTTGTATGCGATTCTCTCTCTCTCTCTCTTAGAGTATCCAGCATTCGACGACGTTCATATCCGCCCAGGCCACCGCTCATGATGCTTTCCGAGCACTAGTCAACCTATCAGATGACTCGCTGGTCGCGGCGTCACTATCTGAACCTTCGTTCATTCAGTTCCTTGTGGCTTATATCCTGGTGAATCCTTAGTAAATTCTATGATTCCTTGCCATCATGCTGATAATCATATGGTGTACTAGAACCCGAACTCCATCCTCGCTGACCTCGCCTCGATGATTCTCTCGAATATCACCTCAACTGCATCCACCGGGAACGCCCTGATCGCCCTTGAAATATCTGTTCTTCCCGATCCTAAAGCGTCAACTGGTTACTACCCAACGCAATCCCGCTCGGGGACTTGTGCAGCTCCAGTGCCGTATCCATCAGGAGAGCCGGAGGAGATCCTTGCTCTACCTTTGCTCGTCGACGCCTTCATACAAGGAGCTAATGTCGACAATGAGCCAGATCCTGATAAGCGGCCTCGGAAAGCGAGCTTGCACTTTTTGTCCAGTGTCTTTGCGAACATTAGCATCGTAAGTGCCTACAGGATCGTTTACGGTAGGTCCATGATATTAACCACCGCGCGCCATAGACATCGACGGGTCGGATGTACTTCCTGACTGCACGCTTGTCAAATCCATTCAAACCAGAAGAGGGTCTCGAGTATCCGCTCGCCAAGCTTCAGGTCTTCACTGAGCACAGGGATACTATCCGGAGAGGTGGTACCGCTTCAACAATGAAGTGAGTCCGATTTCCGCTCCAGAAGTCTGGGATAGCTCAATCGTTGATGCAGAAATTGCGCCTTCCACAAGCCAGCGCACAAAGCGATGCTCCTCCCGGACACGGAGAAGGTCGCGATTCCCCCGAGCGATGTCGAGGCTCCCAGCATGAACATGCTACCGTATCTCCTCTTGCCTCTTGCTGGTCCTGAGGAATACGATCTCGAGGTCCTTATCTTCGTTGCATCTTGCCTTGGCTCTGCTGACGGGGAAGGATTGTCCTAGGAACAAGAACTGCTCCCATTCGAACTACAGTTCTTGCCCCAAACGAAAAGACGGGAGCTTGATCCTGTCATCCGGCTCACGTACATTGAGGTACTCCTGCTGCTGTGTACTACTTTCTGGGGCCGAGAGTATCTCAGAGGTCACGGTGTCTATGAAGTTGTGCGCGCACTGCACAACAGCGAAAGGGACGACAAGATCTCAGAACATATCGTACGCCTCGTGGCATTCCTGAAGCGTGACGAGGGTGATGAGACCAAGAAGGATAGTATAGAGGATGATATAGCTATGAATAACTCGGACGACGAAGATAACCAGATCATCGAGATCTAGAATTCGTATCATGAAACGAATGTGTCCTTATCTGCTCAACTCTGCACTGAGCCAAAAGAGGTACACTAAATCTATCCATCATCTGCTACAAGTATTTCTTGAAAAACTCAACGCTGGCTTTGAAGGCGCCTTCCTTTCCTGCCTTCACCTTGGGGTTGCTCTGCAGATCCATCAGGGACTGTCCAATCCTGTTCAATGCAGATGGCACATACCAAGTCGCCCTTGACCGCAAATCCGTGATTGCATCCCTCCCAATATGTACGCTCATAGCCAGGGGCAAACTTGCCTCCGCCGAAGATTTCGTCCGCCATGATCTGCCTCTCGTGCGGAAATTGCGCATCGACCTCGCAGCTATTGATCAGGAGCGGCGCCTTTGACTCGGCCTTGTACCTCTAGGCACTCTAGTTAGCCTTCATCCCTTCGTGTGGTAGAACGCACTCGCCTCCAGGTCTGCCGGACAATCAAGCCGCGACGGATGCGCCAGCACTGTGACATGACTCTCGTTTTTGAACGCGAGGTAGAACGCAGGTGGCGCGCCGAAGCAGTACCCAGTCGTGCCGAAGCGTGTCACGCCCTGCTCCCCGAGGACAGCGATTACAGCGTCGACGACAGGTTTCCACGACTCTGGGCCATGCGCGGCCATCCACGTAGCCCGGTCGAAGCTTGGATCACTCAAGGTCTCCGGGGTACGCGAGTCGCCAAGAAGGATATCAGGGGCGATTGTCTTGAGACCGTTCTGCGCAAAGCCGTCGGCGAGGAGCTGAAGAAGATCTGAGTGTGAAGAATAGAGTCACTAAATCATAGGACACACGCGGTTGTTTACGAGCTCGATACCGAAAACATCGGTAAGGAAGAGGACAACCTTGTCCTTCGGATAGTCACCCTGAGGGGTAGCGACGTAGCATTTCACGCCACCAATCGTCTCGTAGGTGCCTGTACACCGGGACCATTGTTAGGCGGGATGCAAGTCTGACTAGAACGAGCAACTTGCCCACAGGTTCGCCTTCATGCTTACAAACTTAGCAAAGGCAGTGGTGGTCAGTGCGTGCAGAAGCAGACAACTCATTGTCAACCCACCCTTAAAGCAGTCGTCGCAAAACCCAGGGGTGGACATCTCGTATGAGCGAGCGAAAGATAGCTGCGGATGAGAAACGATCCCAGAATTCTCTCTTATATATCTGCCGTCCCACCCGCCATGGTACGGGTAAGAAGGCACGCCATAGCAGAAAAAATCATTAATCCGGCAGGGTTCAAGTCAGCAGCACATTCGTACACGGCGCGACCGGCGCGAGAAAGCGCAGCCCGGATTGGCTGCTACGCGGTCCGTACTCAATAATGCGTACATTTAGCTGCGGCTAGGAACGAGAGACCATCATGCATCAGAATGCAAGCTAGAATCTGAGTTGCGAAAACAACCAGGAACGAGAAAAAATGCTATACGAATAATTACAGGATGCGGACGAGAGGGAAAATGGTGTGTTGGATCCAGGGTACACTAGATATGCAAATCATGAGACAGCATTTGCAACTTCCTTCGTCTGGGGCAAACGCAGCTGGCTTTCTGCCGTAGCAAGCAGCGAAAGCATCTCCTAGACATACCATTCAGTGAACAACGATGGACCAGCGACCACGGACATACGTGATTTTCAGCTTCAAACGACAGCCCAAGCTCAAGAGTCTCCTTCGCCTCCTGATATGAATGTAGCTGCAATAGTGCCTTTGCCTTCCGGAAGTAACCCTTGCTCCATTGTTTTCTGATTTGGATGACAGCTTCTGCGTCAACGAGGGCATTAATGTAGTCGCCTGCTTCAAAATACGCAGCAGAACGGTTGGACAGGATAGTGGAGAACTCGTCTCGCGCAAGTGCGGATGCTTCCCAGGGCGGTCGTTGGCTTGCAAGCTGAAGAGCCATGCTGTACCGCGCAATGGCTTGCGGGTGTTGTCCTGCTTTGAATTGGTTCTAAGAGTAACTGGTCAGCACACAAGCATCGGAATGAACGAGAGAATAGCATCACATTGCCCTCTTCCTTCATCGTCGTCACAGCCTGTGTCAACTTCTGCGTGACCATCTGCGGTGGCGGAGGACAGCGCAGGTTGGGGTTCATGTTCAAGAGCCACGATATCCGGTTAAGATTAGAGAAATCGACCTCGCACTCTGCGCATTTATCTCGCTTATGTTCCTGGCACAGAGCAGAAACGTTGTCGGGGGGCCCGAACGCGATGTCGACGGGGATAAAACTGGCCTCGATGACGGCCTGCATGACAGGATCTGGTGTAGGCATCGCGACTTTCATCTGCTGTTGCTGCATGTTGGGTGGCGGTCCGTGACTGTGAGTGGGTTGTCCAGGAGCATGCGAATGAGATTGAGACATTTATAAGTGGCGACGTAGGCGACGCTCGCGGCGGTGAGCACGGTTCAGGTTGAAGCTTGCTAGCTCATTTGCTGCGACGTGGAGGTGTGTATGCGATTTTGCGCGGATGCATCTAGAAGAGGAAATATATGTCCAGATCCTGACCCAAACGCCGTACTTTGGACAGATTACGCGCGAGACTGCCTTGACGTAGGATTTTTATGAACGAATGTAACCCAACTTAGGCAACTGTGCGGGGATTGTCTCGGCAAATGCCGGCGTTTGTAAGTAGGGGAGCACAGGAAAGTTTTTTTTCGTCTCCATCGCCTTTGTGGTGAACCATCACATACTCGTCCCACACAACCTCAACTTCATAGACACAGTCTCTTTTCATCTTCAAGACTTCCTGTATCCCACTTCACATTCCCTTTAATATGACAAATGGAATTGTAAATGGTAGCACTGGCCTGGAGAACTCGTTTGGTGCGTACACGCCTCGTTTTCTCCCCCAGCCCTTCTCTCAAGATGGACGCTGACCACAATTCCGCAGCTTCTCTCGGTATCAATGGTCAAAAATCTGCATATGTACCTCCTCATCTGAGGAGTCAGCAGCGGGCTGCTTCTACTCCCGTGGTTCCTACCAACGGGTGAGTCTCATGGCAGCGCTTAGGCCCTGCTCGACGCTGATCCCGAGTTCTCCAGGAACGGCTGGAACGACTCCCGCTCATCGACTCCTTCACGCGGCGGACTTAGTAGCGGCAGAGGCGGGCTCGATAGAGGTGGTGGCTCGTCATTCTCTCGCGGTGGCGGAGGATGGGGAGGAGATCGCCCGCAGTCTGGTGGCGGAGTCTACAGTAATGACAAGAGGGAGAGGGGAGGGGATGGTCCAAAGGAGACCTTTGGTTACGGCACCTGGAAGGATGGTCAGCATATCCCTGGTGGACGCAACATGCGGATGGAGAAGGAACTCTACGGCGATCTGAACGACCCCTCGAAGCAACAAACTGGTATCAACTTCGAGAAATACGATGATATCCCTGTTGAAGCAAACGGTGCTGGCGTGCCGGAACCTGTGACGGCTTTCACCAACCCGCCCCTCGACCCTGTTCTCCTTGAGAACATTGGTTACGCTCATTACACCACCCCCACTCCTGTACAGAAGTATTCGATCCCTATCGTCGCAGAAAGCAGGGACCTTATGGCTTGCGCACAGGTACGTGCTTACAAAAAGCCTTATCAATTCAGCGGCTTAACTAATCACGCTTGGATGTAGACCGGTTCTGGCAAGACTGGTGGATTCCTCTTTCCCATCCTTTCAGCGTCCTTCAAGACCGGCCCCCTCGCCCCTCCGGCAGAGGCGCAGAACGGCGGTTATGGACGCTCTCGCAAGGCATACCCCACAGCTTTGATTCTTGCCCCCACTCGTGAGCTTGTCAGCCAGATCCACGAAGAGGCGCGCAAGTTCTGCTATCGCTCTTGGGTCCGCCCCGCTGTGGTCTACGGTGGTGCCGATATCAACCAACAAATTCGTCAGGCCGAGCGCGGCTGCGACTTGCTCAGCGCCACCCCTGGACGTCTCGTCGATCTCATCGAGCGCGGACGCATCAGTCTTGCGAACATTCGCTACCTTGTTCTTGATGAGGCTGATCGTATGCTCGACATGGGCTTTGAGCCTCAAATTCGCCGGATCGTCCAGGGCGAGGACATGCCTGGTACCCAAGACCGCCAGACGCTCATGTTCAGTGCCACCTTTCCCCGTGACATTCAGGTTCTCGCTCGCGACTTCATGAAGGACTACGTCTTCCTCTCCGTTGGTCGTGTCGGCTCGACGTCAGAGAATATCACCCAAAAAATCGAGTATGTCGAGGACCCCGACAAGCGCTCGGTTCTCCTTGACATCCTCAGCGCTCAGGATGAGGGTGGCCTCACCCTTGTCTTTGTGGAGACTAAGCGTATGGCCGACATGCTCTCTGATTTCCTGTATACCAACCGGATCGCTGCTACATCCATTCACGGCGACAGATCGCAGCGCGAGCGCGAGACGGCTTTGCAGACGTTCCGTACTGGTCGTACGCCCGTCTTGGTCGCCACCGCCGTCGCCGCCCGCGGTCTCGACATCCCCAATGTCACTCACGTCATTAACTACGACCTGCCTTCTGACATCGACGACTACGTCCATCGTATCGGTCGTACCGGTCGCGCCGGTAACGTCGGTATCTCGACTGCCTTCTTCAATCGTGGTAACAAGAACATCGTCCGCGACCTTATCGAGCTCTTACGCGAAGCCAACCAGGACACCCCGGCTTGGCTTGAGACCGTCGCTCAGGAGTCATCCTTTGGCGCGAGTTATGGACGTGGCCGTGGTGGTCGCGGTGGTCGTGGTGGTGGACGCTCTACGTCCACTCGGGACTACAGGACTGGCGGCGGCGGCTTCGGCGGCAGCCGTGGCGGCGGTGGTGGTGGTGGTGGTGGTGGTGCCGGTGCCGGTGGTCCTCAGTACGGCGGCTACGGTGGCGGCGGCTACAGCAACGGCGGCAGCGGGGGTAATGGATGGTGGTAAATCCACTACGCACGACTATGCATTCCCTCATTCCACGTTCTATGTTTGATTGTCTATGCATCTCCCTCTCTTGGATCATCACCACGATTCTACGACTCCATGCCCTTTTCCCTGATCCCTTTCGAAAATCTCATCGGCCAGGCGAAACTGTTTTCTATGCTCTCGTATCCCGGACCCTGCGCTGCTCTCGTGTGGTTCTGCTTGTCTCGTTGCATTCTCTGCTCATTGTCTACTGTACGGCCCTATCTTATTCCTCGTCACTGTTTTCATAGTTTGGGCGCACTAATATCTCCATAGCATTGACATCTCACCGGCGCCCTCCATCCCCATCATCTCCCATTTGCATTAGACGTAGAGGGCCTTATATTCCTCAGCATGAGCAGACAAGTACTGTCTGTCTTCGTTTCGCGATACCCTGATTTATTGCGACGCGCAGTCGGACATTCTATATCCTAGCATCACGAGACAATCTGTTAGAGCATCGCAATTGTAACGTAGTTTAGCATTATTCTCTCAGTCTAACATTGGTCGTTGCAAAATTGGCTGTTTGCTTAGCCTTGACAAGAGAAAGCTGTAAGGATCCGAGGTGGACACGATAAAATCTTCGCAGAAACGGCTCATTTCTTTCTGCCGGCAGCAGCCGTAGAGCACCGGTCGTCCACTCAACTCTCATTTCGCTAGTCTACGTACTTCCGACTTAGCAACAAAGTCTTGCAGCCACGTCAGCCTAAATTCCCTGCCTAAATTTTGCGTGGTCTACAGTACATTTTCCTACGCAGTGACAAAGCCAGCGCAAGATGTATCGATCTCCATCCCCAATATTTGACACACCGGAAGTCTTCACTCCTAGGCGAATGAAGCCCTTGCCTAAGCGGCGTCGGACCTCGTCCGAGTCATCACGCGACGACGTCTCGTCGTCGTGGCTGCCACCAGGAGCGGCCACGACAGACATACCAGGCCCGCTCGACCCATTGTCGGCGCAACTGACCATGCAGTCCTACTATACGCCCATCCTTGGCGGCACGCGGAACGGCGGGAGGGTGCAACAGGAAGTACACGACGGAGGGGACGGAGACTATGTGGACCACATTCAGCAGCCTGGAAACACCAAGAAGAGGAAGGTGCCCGCTAATCTTGGAGCTGTGGGGCATGAAAGCGAGCAGGGAGACGGGAGCGAGGGTGGCGAAGACGAGGTGGCGGATCGTGCAATACCCACAGGACGACCGGAGTATGAGTACGACTCAGCAGACGCAGGATACATTCAGGGTTTATATCCTGGGACGTTGACGGCAGACCGGCGACGAGTCAAGATGTCGCGAGCAACCCTGGCGGGCTTGTCGCACAAAGAAATGCTGAAAAACCGCAAGCGGCAGCTGGCCACCGTCCTTGGTGCCCTCACATATGGCGACACCCTCGCGCTCGACCAGGCCCTGTCTGCTAACTACCCACTTGCGAGCAGTGGGTTTGCCGCCGACTTGCAAAGCCGCGACCTCATTCGCGCACGGCTGTCTCGCAGACCCATCGCTCGGCTAGCCAGAGCTTTCAAAGCGTGGCGAAGCTCACTGCCTGAGGATGCCCATCAAGAGCCTTTTCCTGACTGCAACTTTTCGTTCACCGTACATAGTGCTAGTGAGTTCAATCTTCTGTCGTGGTGTGTTGGTTTCTCAGCGTCGTGCAGCGTCGGACCGCCTTGTCGCCACAAAGCAAGAAGTTATTGCATTACATACACGCATCGAACAAGAACTACAACGTCAGGCCGCAAGAGCTGCTGAGGCGGCCAAACAGACCGCAGCGGTGCTGAATAGTGGCTCTGTGGCAAAACGTTCCACGAAGCAGGGTCGCTCAGCTAGCGGTCGGAGTGTTGCCGAGCCCAGGCCCACTAAGGTAGAGCAGTCTCTCTTCAGTTCTGCACCTGCCAAGACCGAGAAGAAGAAGAAGGAAAAAGTCCGCGCTTGCGAACGCATCCAACCCGCATCACCTGCGCAACTATGTACCCTCCCGTCTGCCGCACTCCGGACAAGTCAGTGCTGCTCAGGCGCAGCAGAACATGCAGAATCTACTTAGCCCGCTCCCTGTGCGTTTTCTTGCAGCTGACGTCCCGCCACAGCGTAAGAAAAAGTCGAGCGCCACGCCAGCCACTACACTAAGTAGTCCCGCCGAGGAGTGGATCTGTCCGTTCTGCGAGTACGACCTATTCTACGGAGACGCGGCGGCATACCAGCGCGCAATCAGCAGCCGCAAGAAGATTATGCGGCGAAGAAGGCGGGCACGCGAGCGTGCTGCCACTGCCGCAACTGGAACCAAGGCTGCAGCGGCGAAAAATACGCCGCCAGCAGAACCCGCGCACGATGACGTCCTGCCAGAGGAGACGTCGTACGCCGAACTGGTACCTGCGGGGCCGAAAAAGGCCAGGCCGAAAGGCGGGCCACGGGACAGTCGAGGAGGCGAAGGCGGAGGCGGAGGCGATTGCATGGTGCAGCCCACACTGGGATAACTGATGTGCACATTGGCTCCTTTCTTTCCATCACTAATCTCACTCATACTTTCTCGTAAAAATATAATCCTCAGGATCGCATCATACTGTGTACCATTCGGATGATTCACATTGCTTCTGCTCTCATTCACTTATTTATTCCATGGCGTCACTGGCATCGCATTGTGTGCACACACCACTTTCATCACCGTTCTCTTCTAGTCTCATCATTCCATTGAATAATCGGCTACAAAATATCTTACAAGTTGTGTAACAAAGTCGTCGAGACATAAAGTGTACACAATAGGATACAGTACGCATTAGGAAAACCTCCTAGAAGCATGTAAGTTAAGTCCATAAGAATAGAAATGGTGTATGAACGATCCCGTGGGAAGTGTTACGTCTGAGGATGACTGAGATTGAGGCTGTCTAGAACCTGCTGCGCCTCGACGCACTCAGATGGGTGTCTGAAGATGCGCAGAGGTATGCGATCGGGGATCTCCATCTTTGCCCGCCACACGCGCTGCTGCAGGTCCCACTGCTTGCGCTCCGCCTCCGTCATCGTCGGGGCGCGCAACGACATAGATCGTCCGTTGAGCGATGCCCTAGACGAGGTAGACGAACTATCATCATCCTGCCGCTTCCGGGACATCGAGGGGTGGTACGTTGGCAAGGTTGTGGACGGCAGCGCGATTGGCTGTGGCTCCTCCATAATAGGTGATTCCGTGAGGGACGGAGACGAAAAGTAGTCCGAGTTCTCATTGATTGTCGGCTGTTGCGGCATGTCCGACTTCGTGCGCTTGGGTAGGCGAATAGGGTAAGAAGGGCGGGAGGTGGATGTTGGAACGTCCGAACTAGAGACACTGCGGTGTGGGCGGTGAGTGGCAGTCACTGTCTTGAGGTCGCTTAGCTGCGCGGCGGGTATCGACGGAGAGCCTAGTGACGACCCTGAGCCTTGCGTACTGCGACGCTGAGGAAGAATTGGAGGCATTCGTTCTCCAGTCGGGTCCTCTAACGGTGGCACAATGTCATGGTTGTGGGCATCTCGAATGAAGATGGCCAAAACTTGGTGAGGCCGATCTCGCGCGAAAGACGCATAGAGCTCCATGTCTTGTTCCCCAGAGTCACCGACGAGGAGAAATTGAGAAGTGGAAAAACTATCGAGCACCTCTACGATGCCAGCACGCTTGCGCTCTGCTGGTGCAGAGAACAGACCGCCAAAGAGCGTTCGGCCAGCATAGGACTTGAGTTTGACGGAACCTGGGGGAAGACCCGAGAGATGGACGAAGTCGTTGATAATAGGCAATAACTCGAACGGCCCGTTGGACTAGAGCCAAACGTGAGTGAAGACCAAGGCATACGCGCCAACCGACGACATACCACGTAGTGGAAGCGAACTCCACGTGTCCACATATCCATATACCAATTACCCATGCCAGGAATGACATTCTCGGCCAAGTCCTTGACGAAAACGTTGTAGAACGCTGATCTTGCACCACTCAGGACACTAGACATTTTAACAGTGTCGTCAATGTCCGATATTAGTCGGATTGTGGAAGACGTGACGGGTATAGCAAGATGACTTCTGGCAGTTGGCACATTGCTTCGGAGTGGACGGGTGGGCTGATTACGGACGGCATATGGTACTTGTGCGCCCGGCGTGACAGGTCGTGATGGAAGTTGCATAAGGTCTGCCGTGACATAGAGGTCATGTTCATGACTTGTGTCACCGAAAGCGAGTTGTAGAGCGGCGGGATGCATGCACATACGGTCCCAGGGAATTACAAACTTCTTCTGGAAGGAGCCGTCAGCAGCGGTCAGGACGTCTGCGCTGGCTATTGGCCGCCTTTGGTGGTTGTAGTCCTCGTCAAGAGCATCGCTGCCGATAGCCGGACTTTTAAAGAAGTCTTTATTGGCCGGGTCCGTCACATATATGGCAATCCGTACCGTCCGAGAGCTGAGGGACGATGACCAGAATGGTGCAAGTCGGGCTTCCAGGGTCTCGTGCAGTTTTCGTAGATCATCGTTCACAGGGACAGCTTTCGGCGCGGGGGGATAGCTACTTCCTGGAGGACCGTCAAACAGACTATCCGCACGAAGATTGGATGATAAGGAGGTTGAAGAATGCGCTGCCTCAAGCTCTAGCTGATGCATCTTCTCCTTCAGTTCCACAAGCTCGGCTTCGTCATCCATCTCGTCCGGTGGTGGGACGAGGTGTACCGATTCCGTAAGATAGTCAGCAGAACGGCCCGACGTAATGCCGTTGCGTCCGATCGTAGCGTCGTCGCAGTCAGACACTGCGAGTTTCGGGAGTGCCGCGTAGCCTTCAAGGTGGTTAGAGAAGCGTAACAAGGGATCGAGATATAGGCCGCACCCTTCGCTATCCTCAGGAATGCTTTTCCCGTCCGTGTTGCGAATCCCGCGCCGCTTGAACGCGTAGCGAACCCAGAGACGAATAGCTCCACATCGAAGGGTGCGGTGTCTAGAAAATGAACGGCCCTGATTATTACACAGCGAACAAACGAATAAAGACACTGTGGCGGACCCACCTTGCACCGATGTTTGTGGGTCTGTGTGATACTTTCGGCACGCCCAGCCGGGAAACAGGAAAACTTTCTCGACCGTATTGCCTGTGGAGCTATCGCCCGGACCAAGCTTGGAGCGTATCTTCTGCCCTGCCCACTGACTCCAAGACGGTCGTGTCGAGCCATCTGCAAGTGGAGGACGAAGCGATTTTCCCACGTCGCGTTGGGCGACGTATCCCTTGAACGCACTCGCCATGGAACGCCAGGAGGACATTTCGTTAGACATGGTGGCAGGTCATGAAGATATCTGCAGGATGAGTAATCTTATATGCTCTCTTGGGAACGCTAAAATATCACACATGAGGCGCACTGACCGGAACAAGATAGCTGTACACGCACTGCAGGGTTCCTGGGATGCAACTATGGACCCGAGCGCCGTCGAGCTGACGTCTCCTCAGCAGCCTGCCAATAACTTTCGCAGAGCCCGCGCGGATTTCGAAAGGGAAAATAAAAATTTGAGGGAAAATTCTATACGTGGGACGTGCGGTGAAGATCGTTCTTCAGGTTCATGACAGACCGAGGTCAGGTTATATACGAACATCGAGGCGCCCTACGGGACCTGGAGTCGTCCTTGACGCGCGTCCACATACAGCGCCGCTTCACCGCTTCAGTGCTTCCAACGCCGGCCAGGAATATTCCATCATCCATATATTTGGTACATAGCTGATCCTCGCGACCGTTGCATGTCTCTCTTGCGCTCATCTTCGGCAGTGTTCAGATTCATATCTGCAACCAGAGCATTTGCTGCGCCGAACTGCCGCGCCTTCTCGACTGCACTCGTTCTCACGAAGACCATGGAGGCAACAAAGCATCGAGGCTATGAGAAAGCACAGCGGGGCAGCAACTACCCGCAGAGAAGCACCAAAGCATCCGCGAAGCTGAGAGGGCTCCCAAAAGACAGCTTGGAAGTCCGTCAGGCCAAGACTGTGACTTGGATTCTCCGACACGCAGCAGAGTCAGAGGAGCTAGAATTACGCCCCGATGGCTACGCTCGAGTGCATGATTTAGTGAGTCTCATCGGGCTGCTGACAATGCTGGCGCTAACACTCGAGGAAGTAGTTGGATAGACCGAAGTTAAAAAACCTGACTTTTGAGGCACTTCAGGACATGGTACAAAAGGACAAGAAAACCCGCTGTTCCCTGATTCAGGAGCCTGATCCCAAGAGCGACTCGTCAGAACCAATCTGGTGGATTGGGGCGAATCAAGGACACTCGATGAAGGTTGGAACTGTGTCATCGGCACGACCCTAGCTGACAAGACATCAGGCGATCAAACTTGATCTGCAGCCTATTCGCAATGTTTCGGACATACCTACGGGCCTTGCTGTGCATGGCACTAACACAGCGGCTTGGGAGCTGATCAGTATGCTTCTGCGCCACGCTTTTCGTAATGCGTACTGATTCCTCTGGATCCAGAAACACAAGGCCTCAAGAAAATGAGTAGAAACCACATCCACATGGCTCAAAGTGCCCCTGGGCCAGGCGTCATCAGTAGTATGTCCACATCACTTTCTTCGCCCACTACCTTTAAATATGTCTGCCCACACAGCTGGGCGCAATTTCGCCACTATCCTGATTTACATCGACGTCCAGAAAGCACTCGGTGCTGGCGTACAATTTTTCCTCTCAAATAACGGCGTCGTACTCACGGAGGGCGATGGCTTCGGCTCCTTGCAACCTGAATTCTTCCAGCGAGTAACGGACGGAAAAGGGAAAGAGCTGACAGGCTGGAGGTCTGAGCGACCTCTGGACTCCAGAACAGCGGGCCAGCCGGTTGCGATTATTCAAGCCGGGGAGTCTACGTTCGCGGCGGAGATTTCTGGTGAAGACAGCAATGCGGCGTCGTCTGCAGACGCAGCTATTTTGGACGTACAAGAGGAGATAGAAAAACTGTCGCTGTGATCGTCCGACACACTGTCAATCTCTTCAGATTATCGAAGATGTTCTTTCCAATATAGCTGCTACCAGTATTGTACTACAACATGATAGAAGTGCGTTCTATGAAACGAGTACGACATCATATGCGCAATGTACTAAGATATAGACGATAAGATGGCGGGATTGCGCCGAGTATCCTGGGTAAGATTCAGCGCAACTACAGGCAGATGATAGTGTAGGGGTGCCGGCGATGCCTTAGGTAGGGGTCGAGCCCTCGGTACGAGAAAATGACAGTGGTTAAAGCTCGCCCAACTCCTCGTAGTGGGTGGCTTGGTGTTGGAAATTTCCATGCCAAATGTATCCTGTGGGGAACTCGGCGAGCCTTCTAGGTGGGAAGCGAACGTGGTGGCAGCGATAGTGTGCCGGAGGTGATGGCCAGCTACTTCCGGGCTTAGCAGCTGGTCGCGGGGCCGCTAGGTATATTTAGGAAGCCAGCGCCGGGTCGACAGAAGCGGGAGAGGAGCATACCTCGAAGGCATGTGCGATTACGTTGAACTTGTTCCGGGTGGTGGCGGTGGTGATGGTGATGGTGAGGGGGTGGAGGTGGAGGTGGAGGCGAGGCGAGCTAAGCCGAGGTCGAGGGCCTGAGACCGGCTTTTATTCGTGTTTGCAGCTAGCGGCTGAAGCGTCGCCAACGCGTTCGCCAGATCACTTTTTTCTGTTGAACGACAATCAATAAAATCGCTCGGGCCATTCGCAGAGTCGTCCCGAGTTGAGCGACGATTAAGCGTCGGCGGCCGCCAACGATCGACCGCGGACGTTGGAGCATCGCTGCCTGATGCTATAAGCAATCGCTTGAACGTACGCACAATATAGCAGTACACAACTTGAATAGACCTGAGGCTGGGTGCCAGGCATGAGGGACACGGTAAGCGAAGGGATGCCCCAGTAGTCACGACTGTTCACGGGGACTAGTTTCCTGAGCCGTCCAGCTACGAGCTAATCTTCGCAACAAGACACGTGCGAGAAAACAACTTTCGCCAGCCCGAATACATATTGTTCAAGTTGTGCTTCCAGCAATCAATCATGCGAGATGGCCCTACTTGATGGCGGTGACTCCGGCCTGCAACTGGAAGAGGCGCCAGCATTGTGGCGGCGTTATATTCCGACGCCTTGGTTCGCCATACCTTCTGTCATCTCAACGTTTCGACTTTGCCACCTTCAAATAATCTGGATCGCATTCCCTAATTGTTGAATTCTCACATGCAATGTACTGGATACCTTGCAATTATACTAATTTCGTTGCCAAGAAGGCACTCGTGGAGCCAATTGCGCCTCGCCGCGGCATTTGCCTTCGGATACAGCAAAACCACGGGTACAACCCTCCAAGAACGTGCGATCGTACCTTCCTTTGTACCGGCTATGGCACAGGATCTTGTTCAACTTCTGCTGCGATTAAATTGGGAACCGCACAACTGTTGATCGGTGTCGAGTGGCGAGCACCTTACGGACACGAGGTTCAGAGTACTATCGAAGAGGCGTGTTTGCGCGCCTCGGACGACACAACCTCGCTGTATAGGCGAGCACGAAGCTGCTTAGATGTAGTGTTTGCGTCCCAGGTTGCCACCTGCTAGTGCCGTCACTCACGCTAGTGCGCCAGCTGCGGTCTGAGTGCTTGTGGTATGGCTTACTCATGGCGCTGACCAGGCCGGCTGCCGCTTCTCTGTCGGCCATGACGGCGTTGCTCTTGATTTTACAGTACGCTCACATTGACTAACGAAGATCGCCATATTCATGATGGCCACGAGCCCAAGACAAATTTATTTTGAGCATTCTTGACTGCAATCACACAACTGCGGCGCTTAGCAGCCCATCTCGACGCCATCGTAAGGGCCGTCGTGGTCCGATTCGTCGCCATCGAAGATATTCGGGACGTCTCCGACGATACAGAGGTCGCTTGTGTTATCTTGCCCTGCCTCTAGTGTGAGCCACTTGAAAGACTAAGAGTAAAGTAAAGACGCACCTGGGCAGGCCTCCCAGACATTAGCATCGGTAATGTGCACTTCGCCCGAGGGGTGGTGGAAGCCGAGGAAGCGTCCAGGAACGATGGGAATTGGATCTTCTTTGTTGTTGATGCGCGTAAACGAGGTCACATGCGCGTCTACATAATCCGCGAATGCTTGATTGCCAACCTGGTCCCGCGATGTCAGCTACCTCTGAGCTCGGCAGCAGAACGAGGCCGTACCCGAGGAAGACCGTAGACTACGGTTTGGAATGATGCGCTGTTGACATGTAACGGCAGATAGACAGCATCGAGAAGCGCGATCGCTGCCCCAAGCGAGTGGCCAACTATGGTGACCTTTTCCGCCCCATGTTCAGAGATTGCGATCTCCACAGCGGCGAGGATGGACGAGGCTGTTCTTAAGAGACAAACCTCAGCCTGCGCAGCATGAGCCACAAGAACGCGTACTCACTTTGCTTGTTCGTCCGCAAAGCCCGAATGGACCTCTATGGAGGAGCTGATTCCCGGGAAAAGCGTAGAATCGAGATTCTCCGTGATGATATCAACATCCGTCAGATCAGCTAAACTGTCATAAAGATCTACGTGAGATCGCTAAACAAATAGGCACAAGGCGCTCCTCACAGCTCGCTTGTGTCAGTGCCCTGGTGTGCCACGATGGCCGTCTCCAAGCTTGGGTCCCATCCGACATACCCTGTGATCGTTTCATTGAGTGCTTGACGGCTGCATTAAGCTGCAACGAACTCACAGAACTGGATGTCGTCGCCATCACCGCCCGAGGCGATAGGCACAAACGAGGGATTGGCCTGGCAATTTGCGCCGCAGGTCCACTTCAAGGTCATGGAGGGTTGACAGTACGCAGTACTCGCGTAATGCGTGTACGGCTTGAAGGTCTCGATTGCAGTTGTCGAGAGCGCCGTGATACTCTGGCGAGCCTCAAGGATGGCGCCGCGAACACGGTGGGCAACAAGGCAGCGAACGCGAGGAGGCCGAGAAAAGCAGCCATTTGCAGCGAGGGCAGAGTTGTCAGGGGCTCCGAGGTTCGTTTACGCTGCCGGGAAGGCTCTTATGCGTTGCCTGTCAGCTGCCAAGAGCATCAGCCCAATGGTCAGTGACGTCGAAGTTGGGTGTACCATATGCGTCCTTCACGTTCTCGGACACGGTTAGCAGAACGTGGGGACTTGAGAACGACGATCACACGGTGTAGAACATCAGTCGACAGGCGTGTATAGAAGGGCCTCACCATGTACTGCAAATGATCCGCCGCCAAAATACAATTTGATCATGTGGAACCAGTGTCCCGTCGCCTCTGTAGCACATGAGCTTAGTTCCTGTCAGCCTGCAGCTGTTGGTGAACGTGGGCAGATCATCATAATCCGTGACTTGTGATGTGCTTACCTGAAGTCGTAACCCTTTTGTGTCATACAAGAGGCCGCTCCGCGACTGCTGTCCTCGTGGATGTGGTTCTGCGGGCGGGAAATTTAAGCTCAAAGCTTTCGATTTTACTCGCTGCGATGAATAGATAGGGCTGCAGCATAGCCGCGCTGCGCGCGGCGTAAGCAAAGGAGAGCGGAAGCAACGATTGGGCCCAATCAAGGAGAATGACGAAATAGGGGCCGATATAAGGCGAGGGATGGGAGAGGGGGGCCCTGGAGCGAGTAAGATAGGGATAAGAAAATCGTTTCTTACTTTGAGGGCATCAGTATAGTAAGCGTCATAGTATAGCAATCCGCACTCTCTATCGTCCTCACCATTATAATCCGACCATAGCCGTCTCCAAACGGAGTGAACACCAGCAATTGTATCAAACGAGACGAACAACTTAAACTGGAAGACAAGAAGTTCCTGTGAATCCGGCCGCATCATGAGTGGTTGTTGACTAGCTGAGAGACGGACGTCGCAATGCCACAGACAGCGAAAAAGCGAAGGTGACAGAAGTGCTGTATAATCGAAGGGCGCGTACAGAGTTGGTAGGCGTAGCTTGCAAACGTCGTGGTCACCAAAGCAGAGGACAGGGGCAGGTCCAGTTAAGTGGCTTGAAGGCATTCAAATGTACCCCGCAAAACAATTCACTTGGAATGATTGGGAGAACCGAGCTCAGGCAATGGTTATTCAAGTTCCGGACTCGAACCTTACACGCGACGGCTGCCTCGTTTTTTTTAGTGATCGTCGGCGCGGGCAGAAAGGCAATCGCAGTTAGAAAGATCGGGATTGGTGGTGTTCATACACCGGACACGCATGAGCCCTCCTGTGCCTCTTGCCGCCTTTGGGTCCAAAAGATGAAACTAGGTGAATTCACGCCTCTTCTGCTTTCTGGGGTAGCCAAAAATGTGCTCTCGGGCTTCCCCTTCGTCGGAATGAGGAGTTAATCCCCGAGTCTAAAGAATAATGGTGGAAGTTAGGAGCGAACCTCGTAACGCCCTTCGCGTACGCCCAATTCGTCAGTAACTAGGCGCTCGCACTCTCGGCGATGCTGCTGCACGCCCGATCGCCTACTTATGCGAAATATATGGCAGGCAGTTACTGCTGGACAAGCCGCAACCTCACCTTCATCCAGCATATCATCCATCAATGTGAATCTCATATAATAAAATTGCCCGGGCGCCAAATCCCGGAGACAAAGATGCACTCTGACGGTGGGCCGCGGGTTCTGATTTCTCATTTGATGTTTTCTTCTCAGTTCCCATTTCGATTCTCTCTGCCTGTGCGTAGCACAGGTCACCCTCTCGTATGGACATTCATAGAAGTTAAAACTGTGTAACTCACCCGGTCACGTGCGGCCGCGGTAAATCACTCAGATATTCGGACAGGGTAGGAACGAGCCTTTTTCACCTGAGACTTAAATCGTAATACATGGGGAACTAAAGAAAGAGACCAAACACCAGGGAAATTGTGCCAGCTTTCATCTCGAGTTTTTAGCGATTAGTCCTAACCGGAACCCATCACAGCCGTACACGGAAAGCGGCCCCGGCACAGACGAGGACATCTGTGCAGTCTTGGAGGCCGCACGCAAGTACGACATGGAGCATCTGGCCGGAAGGGTGGAAGCGCTGTTCGTGGCAGGCTTGGAGGGCAGTCCGTCCCGTATATATGCATTTGCCAACGCCTGGGGTTGGAAGGAGGAAATGAAGATCGCAGCCAAGGTGCGGACCTTGTCGCGGCCGCCCCTTCTAGAGCTGGCGGCATGTGAGCGTGACTCGGAGGCGCCAACATTGTGACGTCCGCGCATGCCACCGCGTATCCACAGCCTTCGTCAAAGCCCCGGCGGTATGTAATCGTTGGCATGTACATATGCGTGAGGCCAACACATATATATGCACAATATCCGATAAAAGATGCATCCCAGATATAACGGAGCCTAGCTCCTTGATCATACAGTCATTCACAAACTGGGCTTAGCAGTGGATCTTGACGCCGTTGTAGGGACCATCATGGTTTGACTCATTGCTATTGAAGAGCATTGGGACATCCCCGACAATGCAAAGTTTACTCGGATTATCTTGGCCTGGTCACAATTATCAGCTATACTCAAGAATAGAGAGATGAGAGCATGTACCAGGGCAAGCCTCCCAGACACCTTGATCAGTGATGTGCACTTCGCCTGAGGGGTGATGGAAGCCGAGTTCAGTGCTGGGGACAATAGGAATCGGGTCCTCCTCGTTGTTAATATGCGTCAGCGAGATCACATGCGCATCGACATAATTGGCGAATGCCTGGTTGCCAACGCGTGGAAGGCTGTAAAGAATAGTCCGGAACGAGACGCCTGAGAGGTGCAGAGGGAGGTAGATCGAGTCCAGCAGTGAGATTGCGGCGCCGAGCGAGTGACCGACCATCGTGACCTTGGTTGCATCGAACCTGGAGATAGTGGTCTGCACGGCGGACAGGATCTGAGTAGCAGTCCTAGACTCCACTTTTCAATCTCCTATCGTCAGTGCATCTGAAGAGACCTTACTTGGCTTGTGCGTCCGCGAAGCCTTGGTGCGCCTCAATGGAAGAACTTAAGCTTGAGAACAGAGTCGAGTCGAGGTCAGTCATCACGATTTCCACGTCCGTAAGGAGAGCAAGGCTAAGTGACCCTGCTGCCCACAGCGCTCGCAGAGCCCTCGCCCGAGGCTCATTCGTGCACATCAGGAAAAAGACTTAGGTCCACAATGTTACAGAGTGCTACAGGAGCATTTTGGAGCACTATGGGCCCAAGTCCTGTTTCCTAATGCATTACATCACTCTCGACGACCGCAATCGGGAGTTTCACGCTGTACATGTTCTACGCGAGTGCCAGATTCTGCCAACCCTCCGAGACCCTGATGTGGTCCTGTGGTGCAAACCGCGAGGCCAACCCCTTGTTCAAGCCTGTCGTGTCTGGCGGCGACGGTAGTGACGTCCAGTTCCATGAGTGCTGCAACCATGAAGTGCCGTAGAATTTATCCAAAGCCGCGATAGGGTATGTTGGTTTCGACCCCACTCTGGAGACAGTTGTTGTTTCGCACCAAGGTACCAACGTCACTTCAATGTAAGCTGGTTTCATATCTCTGGCTGTATCCATTCGCCTATCCTAGGTGGCAGCGAGTGCAAGGAGGCCGCTGAAGACCGCCATGTCCGAAGAGGTCTGACGTGGGTACAGAAAAACGAAGGACTCCTGCCAAGCCGTCCGAGGATTGTTTATCCCGTTCGCAGACAGCGTTCTTCAGCCGCCCGCTGATGGCGAGAGACGTGACGTGGAAGGGTGCACCATATCAATTCTGCATGGGCCTGAACCAGAGGGCAGGGTGAGAGTATCAGAGTGAGACATGCGGTGCGGCATCATGCACTTGTTACACGGTAAAAAGATTCAATCCGGCTGTCGCGTCTGTTGCTACATACAACCCATAAAGAGAGCGAACAGCAGTGCACCACTGGGCTGTCTCAGACCTCTGCTGCCTTCGTGAGACACGGCATTCCATTGCCCTCGTGGCTCGTACCAGCTGTCGAACGGGCGCACCTCAGCTAGCCGAGTGTAGGCTATGTCCTGGTTCCGAGAGAAGCCCACGCTAGCAGGCCCTGTGGTGCCGGTGCGCGACATTTTATGTTGCATCTTCGTGGTTTTACCACAGATCGACGGAAGAAACAACAGCCACATAGATGTGTGTATGATGTGCAATTTCGCAGGTTCGAAGAATCGTTGGGAGAAAATCAGTACACAAGCACACCTGGCTGATCACGCACCGTAGTCCCGCAAGCTGAACATGGGATTTGTGAAGTTCCAACAGTTTGATTTCCTGCTGTGCAAATATGCACGCACGGCGTCGAGAGGGTTCATGGATATAAATGCAGTCATGGAGGCGATGGAATCTTCATCCCATGATAAACAAGTTTTCAGAATTGGCGGACAAGGCATATATCGCACAATTCAGAGATGGGCATGTTTGTACCGTAAAACGAGAGCATTGAGCGCTAGAGCAAGCAGGGCTGCCTTATCCGGTGTTCTATCGTGGTGGAAAGTGATAACAGAAATCGCGGCAGAGGAGGCTACAAGAAGTGTAAGGGGCAAGCGACCCGATAGAGATGACGCATTAGGCGGTATAGCGCTGCGCATCATCTTTGACGACCGCGCCTGCAGGCGCCTGCACGCTGGAACCTACTGAACCTGTACCATGACCGCGCGAGACCGTCCAGCGACGGCCGGCTCTAACCTCGCCCTGCAATTCGGAATGGTCCTTCAATTCGGAATGCCCTGCAATCCGGAATCCCTTGCGATTCAGAACGTCGTCAACTAATTCGGAATGCCACACGGGTGCGACCTTAGCTTCTACTAACCTGGAACCCGCCTGCTCCCGTCCCAACGCAGCAGGGCGCACTGGATGGCGGTGGCGTGCCCGCCCACCAATCGAGCTGTGGCGTCCGGATGTTTTCGTGGCTCCCGGAGG